TGCTGGAATAATTCAACCCAACTGTCTTCAGCAGCAATATTCTCATTATTCCAGCCAGTGATTTTTTCATTTGTCGCAAAGTTGGAAATAAGCGAAAACTCGTCAAGGACTTTCGTATCTTGGCTGCTGCTAATAAACCCTTGCGTGATCACCAAATCCATTACTTTTTGTACCTCATCCCAAGTAAGTTCTTTTGTTAAATTTGCCCATTGAAACAATTGTGGTTCTATGTTGAATTGACACCACGGCTCCAAATATTCTTTGCTTGTCCTATAAAACTCAGCCGCTCCAGCAATTTCAGTTTCTTGTAATTTTACAAGTATGTTACGGACGGTGTGAGGAAGGCAAATAGTTTTTTTTAATAGGATATGGTGACAAACGAGCACACAGTCCACCTGATGGTAAGTGGTTGCTGTGGCCCATAGACATTTACATCTATCCTCGTTTGCAAATCAAAATGCAGATGCGTTGTCAGCCGTGACGACTAAGATGGAATGCCTCTTTTCCAGTAAAAAAGGTCTCCGGTTCTCTACACTCACCATACGAAACACAGCAGCATTAAGCTGCTATTTTACGCTGGTATTCTGTGAGAGCGTGGTCCCTCCCCGGTCGAGCCGACCTATTTATGCTACAGCTATACTACTAATATAGCTGCAGCATGGCTCTACCACGTATAGAGTGCTCTCTTTGAGTGTCAGGTTATATCGGAGATGATTAATTTCCTTCGCAGACTCTATTGCAGACACATTTTGCCCCTCAATTTTTAACACAGCTTCATGAAATGTCGCTGCTTGTGCGTGCAAGTAATAATATAACCACAACTCTGATCTGGGAATTCCGAAAAATATTTTAAAAATATTTGGGAATTTGTCGATTATTAGAAAATAGCTAATTAAAGGCTGAAACATTTTTAGAACTCTCTCAAGCGCGGGCATTAACATAAGCCGCGTTGTTTTACTGTAGCCCAGTAAATTGTGATTCTCTGTGTCAGTTGAATCACAAAACTCTTTCAAAGATTCGACTCGAACGCTTTAGATGTAGGTAGAAAAATGAAGTTAGTTCTGTTTGCGAAATCGGGACCATTTTGCCTTCGCTGGGGACAGCAGGACAGACAGCCTGAAAGCGGGGCTGTCCCGCCCAAAGCGGGACGTATGGTCACGTTATTTATACCGCCTATTAATTTCAAATAAAGTGCATAATATTTGAAAACATACTTACCTCATAATAGTCATACAGTGTTGTAAATAAATGAATATGAATGAATGTATTCCTTATCTAGAATGACGCAATATCAGAAAAAAAAATTCCGTATTGCTGTAATTATTTTGCTTTAATTTTTTAAAGAAAGACCCATTTGTGTCAATTTAAATGTTTATTAAAATTGTATAAAAATCATTCTTACAGCAAAATTAAATTTAAAAAAACCATCTAATGCGTAATTTAATGCAATAACATCTTATTTCGAAAAATAATATCAAAAAAACCTTAGCTTAAAAACAATCTTTTTAAAATCAAACTTATTCTTAATAATTTAAATTATCAAATAAGTGAGCACAGATAGAAACCTTAAAATCAATGACATAAAACTTTTAGAAGAAAGGTAAAGACAATTGAATGTGTTGCATAATTACATATTATCTCGAAAAAGCAAAATAGATAAAATCAGGATGTGTCTGTGTACTGAATATATCTACGTGAATACATGCAAAGAAATTACCTCAAAATGGCGCCTGCCAACCGCATATGATACCTCACAGTCCTCACGCAACGTAACGAATTATTTGATCCTTTAGGTATGTAGTCATAATCATCATCATCCTGCGCCAGTCCACTGCTGGGCACTTAGCCCGATCTTCGGCTACACGTATCTAGTTGCTGCTAGCCACCTTGCCCAGATCGTCGCTCCATCTAGACAGGGCGCATCCTCTGACCCGCCTATTGCCACTTCAGACTGCAACTACGGAAGGCTTTTTCGGTGACCTTGGTTCTCCGGCTAGCAATCTACTGCTGTTATTAAATTTTGGATAACGGTAAAAGATATGCAGCTGCAACACCAAACTGGATCCCCCGATTTTGTTATAATCAGTTTTCTGAATTGCCTTCCACGAATCTAATGGAAAGACTTATTCACGTTAAAAAACCGACAAAATCAGTAAATAAAGCTCTTATTCAACATTGTAGTATTCTTCAAAAAACCAAACCTAACCTTTTGCCAAAATGCTGTGACGACAAAAACTAATGGATTTATTTATCTTCACGCACAATCCCTGACGGGGTAGCCAGAATGAACAGATCGCCAAGTGTCACGATCCTTACAAACCTCTTTCGCTTCTTTCAGATTCATTATCTTCTTCATGCATGCACGTCTAGGTATCCGAGTACTCTTGACCCTACCCTCTTCGAGCAATTTACTCACATGGTCTTCGAAAGTTAGTCTCGGTCTACCTCAACACCTTTTAATATTAACTTTCGCGCTATATATTTTCTTCACCATTCGGTCTTCACTCATTCGCTCAACGTGACCAAACCACCGAAGCACGCCCTTATCAATTTTTGTGATAAGGTCATCTTTCAAACCTGCCATATTGCGAATCTCTTCGTTTCGCTTTCGGCCATGGTAACGCCGCACATTTTACGAATAGATCGCATCTCCACTGCATTCAACTTACTTTTATGCTTCTTCTGGCATACCCAGGTTTCGCTGCCATATAACAAATTCGGTACCAACACTGCGTTATGTATTGCAAGGCGTGCACTCTTCGCTACGACTTGCCTTTTGACTAACGCAGTCAGGGCACCATTGTTCCCGGCAGCGACACGCCTGTCCACATCTAAATCACATCTTCCATCCCGGCTAAAAGCAGTCCCCAAGTATACAATTTCATTTAACTGTTCTAGACATTCCTGATTTACCCGTATTTCACACTTCGTTCTCTCTTCGTCCCTTTCAAATACCAGAACCTTAGTTTTATTAGCATTCAAACGGAGACCTTTAATTTCACATTCCTCTTTCATACACGTGACTAATGCATGCAGTTCTGACTCTGATGGTGCAATAAGCACTGCATCATCAGCATACAGCAAACAATTTACTTTTATGTCACCCAATTTCACACCCAAACAGCTATCTTTCAGCTTTTGTAAACAGCTGTCGAGATACAGTATGAACAGCCAGGAAGACATGACACAACCCTGTTTTATGCTCGTTTGGACGCTAAACATGGGTGACAGGTCATGCCCTACCCGCACACAGGCTTTACAGTCACAGTAAAGAGACTGCACAGCCCTTAGCAATCGGCCATCCACACCATACCCCGGCAACAGTTCCCACATTTTCTTCCTTACAACCTTATCAAATGCTTTCTCAAGATTCACAAAAGCACAGAAAATCTTCTGGTTAGCAGCCAGAAGCTTTTCCGTGATCATACGGAGAGAAAACACTTGATCCGTGCATCCTCTTCCAGGTCTAAATCCGCATTGTGCCTCCCATAGAAATCTTTCCGATTTCTCTTGCATCCTACGTGTCAAAACCTTCGAGTAAACATTACTTGCTAAACTGGTCAAGCTGATCGCCCTTTACCTTTATATAAAGGCACAATGACTGCGGATCGCCAATCATCCGGGACATCCCCCGTCCGCCAGCACAAATTGCACAGCAGATGAAAGCTGTCCCAGACGCGAGGCCCACCATACTTGACCATTTCAGCAGTAACTCTGTCTAGTCCCGCAGCCTTACCACATTTCAAACTTCGAATCGCACGTTCAATCTCTTTCATACTGATGACCTCAGTGTCATCGAGGTCCGGGTCTGGCGTACCAGTCACGGCGTCATCCCCGGATCCCTCACTAAGATCATCACACGCATACATTTCTCTATAAAATTCGCTCCATCGCTGCATGACGTCCGATTTTTCTGAGAGGACGTCATTAGTTCTCGAAAGCACTTTGTTCATTCCTAAGGCCGTCGCACCACTTCGGGTCCTTCCAACCTCTTTCCAGAAGAGTTTGGAGTTCTCCTTAAAGTTGTGCGACAACCTTTCGTCCGCTTCCATTCTACACCTTTCACGCACTTCCTCAATCAGTGCTTTCGTGTGAACTTTCTGCAGCCTATATCTTTCTTTCGTCTTCTCTCTCATATCCTTATCATTACTAGAGGCCAAGTAGTCTAACCGTTCTTTCTTCTTCTTCTTTACAGCTTCTTTCACTTCATCATTCCACCATGCATCTCTTCTTTTACTACTGCCTCTTTTTATTGTTCCACACACTTCTTCCGCTGCACTTACCATTCCATCCAAACTAATAGATAGAACTTTATTTATAAATTTATAATAAAATTCTCCATTTATGGAGTTATTCAATAATGAGCCTATATTCTTCCCTATGTCATCACTATGCACAGTAGTATTATTTTCTTTTTTATAGTAAAAGGTGATAAACGAGCACAGAGTCCACCTGATGGTAAGTAAATACTGAAGCCCATAGACATCTACATCTATCTTGGATTAAGAAACAAAATGCAGATGCGTTGTCACCTTCATTATTAAGGATGGAAAGCATCGTTTTCAATAAAAAGGGTATCCGGTCCGCTACGAGTACATTCAACATACGAAACATAGCAGTATTTTAACCGGCTATTTTACCCTGGTATTCTGTAAGAGCATGGTCCTGTGCCGGTGTAGCCGACACAATCGTGCCACAACTATAATATAGCTGCAGCGTGGCTCTATCAAGGCACCAGGTATAACGCTTATTATATCCTAAGCAATGTAACCTGTTTACTCCTGGTACACATTGCTAACCAACATAATGATACGATACATTTGACATTTTGTAAACACTGTTTCTATAAAACAGCAAAAATAGGCAATCCAATCAAGTACCGTAGATTATAAAAATTTAGATTTATATCTAAAAGCGAGATTAGAATTAGCTGATAAGGCTACTTAAATATAAACAGAGTAAAGGACTGTTTCCTCACAAAAATACGTTTAGATTCCAATATGAAGGTCATATCAATAGTATTTTTGTTATTATTTACTTTAACGAAAGCGGACGATCAGCTTCCTTTAGCTGAACCATGTGATCCAGAATTATGCAAGTTACCAAGTTGTCGATGCTCGTCAACGGATATACCCGGAAATCTTCAGCCTAGGGATACGCCACAGGTATGTTTGTGTTTTTTTTTTCATTGTATTTAACTAAATGAGAAAACAAAAACAGACCTATATTCTTTGAAATATTTAAATAACAATTTATATATTGCGAGCAACCGAAATAATTCATCACATGTTTTTAAAAATTAAAAATAATACTACGAATGTAAATATAAATAAATTTTACCACAAAATTAAAGGAAATGTTCCATGCGTCTCTGTTACCAAGTTTGGTAATAGAGAATTTGGTCAGGTACGTAAATAAAATAAAATATAAAAATATACAACTTTTTTAACAAAAAGAGAGTAAAAAGAGAGTACTATAATATTAATATAATATACCTCTGACTATGAAGTGACAGTACAAAGCTGTTTCTAAAATTTAATATTAATATTTAGGTGAGAAAAAAAATTGTAACTTTTTTGCTTAAACTATGATGTCTCAGTGTTTCTTATTAATTGCTCCAAGAAAAAAAATGCCAGCAGTAAAGAAAAAAATCAAGTTCAATATATTATAATAATCTTATAATATTTTTATTTTGATTGCTTATAAAATATTTTTTGATCTACTGAGCAACATCTTGTTTTGTATCTGTGCAATCATTAAATTAATGGTTTTATGTTTCAGTTTGTTATGCTAACGTTTGACGATGGCGTTAACGTAATCAATATGGAAAATTATCAACAAATTGCTTACAATCGCCGCAATAAAAATAATTGTCCTATAGGCGTCACTTTCTTCATAAATCACGAGTACACCAACTACCAGCTTGTCAACGAGTTGTACAACCAACATTTTGAAATTGCACTACATTCGGTTAGCCACCAAACGCCACAGAGTTACTGGGCGGAGGCGTCTTACGATGATATGATGAAAGAGTTCGGCGATCAAAAATTACAAATGGCTCATTTTGCAAACATTCCAATCAATGAAATTAAAGGTTGGTTCAATTTAAAAGATAATTTAATTTTATATCCACTACATATAGCAAACTATCCACTATAGATAGGAATCTCCTTTATTTGGGAGGACTTATGGTAATCACCACTATTGGTAAGTGGATTGACAGACGCATTGTCAGAACTCTTAAACATTTGCAACTTTACTTGACCATAACGACATTATTGTTGTGCATACCTTATCTAAAAATAGTTTTGAATTATGTTCACAATCATATTTATTAAACTTTTGTAATGTATTTTAGGTGTTCGCATACCATTTCTTCAAATGACAGGCAATTCTAGTTTTCAAGTAATGGCTGAAGTCGGCTTACAATATGATGCTACGTGGCCTACTATTCGTTTTACTAATCCGGGATTATGGCCTTATACGCTTGATTATGCTTCAACTCAAGATTGCTTTATTCCGCCATGTCCGACGGCTTCAATTCCTGGCCCTTGGGTTCTACCAATGATCAGCTGGATAGATCTAAATGGAAACCCTTGTTCTATGGTTGATTCTTGTTATTCTGTGTAAGTATTTTTTGCAGTAAAGAATTGGTAAAAAAAAATACAACATTCATCGTACGTTTCGTCACTTTTTTTTCGATTGCTTTGATGGTTATAACAGAATAAGTACACCATGCTGGTAGCAACTTTTGCGATATTGATGAGAATTAAATTTGGGTTACTTGCAAACTATGAAATTTTAAAAACAGTACCAAACCTCTGATATATAAAATTGTAAATAAACCAAATTGAAGATAGGCCAAATTAAGATTACCCTTAACCGATGAACAAAGCAAAAGATGTGTGTCAGAATAGTGCTAAACGGAAGTCCGTAGTCTCTGTATTAAAAAAACATATATTTTATATAACAATAACATTTTTATATTCATTAGTAACACGATGTTTTAATATTTGTTGTAATATTCCTGTGGTACGTTTTTATATGCCCCTTTCAGATTGGACAGATTTTTTTTTACATATTGTGTAATATTTATCTGTAACATACTAGGTTTCCTATTACAATTTATATAATCTATATATGTTTATATCTCTATATCTAATATATGTTTTGTACCTAAACCTTACGCCAGCTAATCGAGTTGGACCATCGCTGGCACCATTTATAGCAATAATATTCTTATTTAGCATGTGATCGGCGGTGACGAAAAACATGCTTGTCTGACACTTAAAATATTTCGATAAGACATGTGATGTTCGTCAATACGAATTGGGACAGTTCGGTGGACTATTCTTTGATCCACAACTCTCCCAAAAATAAGAAATTGCTAGTGCTTTGTAGTGTGGGTTATGTAGGCGGCTCCTATACCATTTCTAGTAACAATCACAAAATTTTCTATTTTAGGCCACCTCGGGACGATGAAGACCAATGGTTCGAGTTTATACTGACAAACTTCGAAAGACACTATCTCGGCAATCGGGCACCATTTGGTTTTTTCATTCATGAATGGTACCTTTCCGCTTATCCAGCAGTCAAACGAGCCTTAATCAGATTTATGGACTTGTTGAACAACCTTGAAGACGTTTTCATGGTATGTTATATTCCGAAAAGCTTATTAGGAGTATTTGAGCTGCAGTGCGATCATGTTACAGAAGCAGTTATTTACACATGATGAATATATTACGCTTATAGTAAATATATTCTCGAAGGAGGATGTTAATCTATGGGATCTATTTACTAATTGTCACTAAATTTCTGTTCGAATCAAAAGTAAGCCATCACAAGTTCTTCGACCTATATATGGACGACCCATTGCCACTTCAGCGTACTGATCCGCTGGATATGTTAGTTACTGTAGTTCTTCAGCGGATAAATAATAATGTCCTCCAGACCGAATTTCGGTCACGGCGGCCAGCCTCAACGGAGACTAGCCATCGGCGCAGGACAGGATTGTAGTGCCCAAGTGTATGCGCAAGCACAGGTGCACTCTTTATTCCCTCACTCTCATAGTCCAATGGGACGATAAGCCGACACGACCGGAGAGAGATCAGGCGCAGGAACCAACGGCTTTACGTGCTTTCCGAGGCACGGAGGTGAGACACCGCCAACTTCCTGACTCCGGGCAGCTACTGAGAATTTCTTGATGGAAAAACTGAATAACTGATTTTTTTGGCCCGACCCGGGATTTGAACCCGGGACCTCATGATCAGCAGTCGCACTACTACAACCACTAGACCAACAAGGCGGATTCAGCGGATATTCTCATTACGGACCTTCCGTAAAGAAATTCCGAACATAGCACTTTTGTGTCCGACTTCAGCAATGCTCAAAAAGAGAGTAATAATTTTGGTTAGTATGTATGTATTTGTTTACATGTTTACCCGTAATTAAATTAGTTGTCGGATTTTATCAAATAATATCTCAATAAGTTTGTCCGTAATTTCGTCGGTAAGTTAGACGATAACAATAAATAAATATTATGGACATAAAGTATTAATAAAATGCGTGACCCCAGAAAAATAATATCATTATTGTAGTAAATAAAATTGCATTCAAAATAATAAAAAAGATTGTATTTATAATGTTATATTTTAAATTTGATTACTGCAGTCGTTTTCTCTTTTAAGAATAATTTTCTTGTTAGAGTAAATACACATAATAAATTGAAATATATTTCAGGTAAATGGAGGCGATGTCATAGAATGGGTTAAAAATCCTATTCCTATAAATGAATATAAGAAGAAACCTTGTAGAACTTCACCACCAGCCGCTTGCAACCGATCTAGTTGCGGTCCCTTGCGAGGAGATCATAATGGAGTAAGCTATACATTGTTTTAATATAAGTACAATTTATCTTTTTCGCTAAGTTTTTTAAAATAAGTTTAATCAAGCATTTTGAACCATTAACTGAGGGTAGATGAAGAAAAGCTTCACATGAAAAAACTTTGAACTTAGGCCGTGTTATTACAAAATGAGGTTTATTGATATTTGGTTGTAAACAATGGTCAAGAAAGTCTTCTTAAAAAATTATTCCATCCCCCATCACCACCCAGGCGCCAGTCTTCGCGAAATTTAACATTTGCTGTCAAATTCCGTGATTCATATTTTAGTTCGCATATTTTTCCTCGAGATTTCTTTATTGAAACATACTTAAGTTTAAACCTGAGGCCAATAATAAACTACTTTTGTAATAAAACAGATTACATCCTTAGTTTGAGGAACCTTAGCGGATACAGTTCTGAGTGAACAAGGACATTTGATATTATTTTTAACAAAACGCTGCAGCTATCTTTTGGTTGTAGTACGAATGGGTCGGCTAGACTGGGGTTTTACTACGCTCTCATAGAATAGCAGCATAGTGCTGCTGTGTATCATAACGTAAGTGTAGAGAACCGGATACCCTTTTTACTGGATGCGAGGGGTTCCATCTCAGAACTCTTCTGCATTTAGATTCTTAATTGCGGATAAATGTCTACGACGACTATGGGCCACAGCATCCACTTACCATCAGGTTGACTGTGTGCCCGTTTGTTACCCTTATTTCATAAAAAATGGTCTTAGATCTGTATTCTACGAGAAAAACCAGCAATGAGATTTCTACTAATTATAATAATCTATTTGCCTACGATATACTATAATAGGGAACCGTGGCAGATCAGGGACTAAATGTTTGACGTTAATATTATATAGCCTGCCGTCAATAATAAATTCGTTGGTAAAATTTTTTTGTTATAGAATAAGGGTGCCAAACGGGCACACGGTCCATCTGATGGTAAGTGGATGCAGTGTCCCATAGACAACTATATTTAAAACTGCAGATGCGTTTGACGCCCTTGAGTTCTAAAATAGAGTGGTTCATTCCAGTTAAAAGGTGTCTCTGGTTTTTACACTCATCATACGAAACACAGTAGCATTGAGCTGCTAATATTTACGCTGGTATTCTGTCAAATATTGATTGGGTAATGAATTATTAACTCATTTTAAAAATGTTTTTACAGCTGGATTACTGGATGCAGATATGCAATACATGCCCTAAAGTTTACCCATGGCTTGGAAATCCCTTGGGACGTTAAATTTTATGAAGGATATTTATATTATAAAGTAGAATAAATAAAAGTTCACAGTATTCAATACGCTTTTTTTTTATATTAATACAAATATCTAGGTACCTAAAAAGGTTATCTTTCGATATAAAATTAATCTATCATTTAGTTATACCTAACATAATCGTACGTTTATCTTATCATTTGCTCTAAATCTATACAAACTTATAAATAAAATTGAAGTGTATGTTTGTAATAACGAAGTAACTGCCTTTTATTGAGGTGGTGAAGTTATTTGCATATCATTAAGACATAAGTTAGTATTTAAAAATAATATATTATCTGTCTGTTTGTTTGTTGAAGAGTTTGATACTCTTATACTTATTAATCAATAAAATTTTCAAAATACCATAGCAACGTGAAATGAAAGAGTTCAGAAATAAAGATGTAAATAATCATTGTCATAAAAGTACTCAATTAATTTTTAATTTATTTCAGTCATAATAACTGAACTAACCTCGCTCATAGAAGCTTTCAATACTGGCTTCTCGCATTTCTTACGGGGCGGCTAGGGTTTATGCGCCGTTCGCGCGCCCAGCCAAGTATTGAATTATTTTAATTTTACATTATCTCTTAAACTATGCTTCCAAATAACATGGTATAAAGAACAAAGTTTATCTTCATAAAATTTTCTTGATGGTGAAGTAACTTTCGCTCGTAAGGATAAATAGGCCATGCCTAATAATAACGCTTATAAATCACTTTTTAATTTTCAATATTTTTTTGTCACAGAATACCTAATTATGGCTTATGTATAATAAATAGACATATGGTATCGCAGATTTTTTTTAGATGGAGTAAAGATCTAAATTTTTCTAGAACATTGTATTTACGTATCCCTAACGATAAGATCAGCGTACGCGGATAAATCATTTCGGAAGCGCTTTTCCTCTGACTTGCTTAACAAACATCAATATTTAAGGCTAGCCGAGTGATATAGCTTAATGCTAGATAGACTATACTATTCCACATGAATTTGGCTATAATATACAAAAAGAGTTTTTCAAATCGGACTGGTAGATCCAGAGATTAGCGCGTTTAAACAAACAAAAAACAAACTCTTCCGCTTTATTATATTAGTATAGATTTTATATTGTTTATGTTTATATGAGGTGTATGACGTCCGAATGTCATAGTTAACCACGGCTAACTCCAGATTAAAATTTTTACTCAGTCCCCCACCCCCCCCGTGACCATGGTTGCTGGAAAGTGCTCGAAACGTCGGGAATATAAAATAAATTAATATATGCGATAAAATCCGTAAAATTAGTTTTTCTCAAAATATTAAAGAATCGAAAAATGCCATAATAAATGGTATTTAATGATTAACTTAAACCTAAATAACGTCACATTAATAGATCCTTACCAGGCTAAACTGAGGTGAGTCGCTAGTAACTAATAAAGATATACAAATAAACAAAATTTATTACGTTTTAATCCAATGTAAATTGGCAATCGCATCCCTTAAAACTCATGTTCATGTTCATCAGCACGTTAATACTACACCAATATCTCCATTATAAAAGTTAAGTAAAGTTACAACCTATATACCTACGTCTCACGTCTACGATTAGTGTTGAAAGACTTCATGTCGAAATTAAGTATTTGTGTGTCGAAATCGTGGTAGATCTGCACATGAAATTTCAAATAACAACGTCATTGGTGCCGGTGGATACAGAACCCGTAGGCGTATTACGTATCTTGCAGAACGCTAGTGAAATTAGAACAATAATTACTGATAAATCGCAGATTCGTATTACGTACCAGCGATAACCAAGCCCTAGCTAACTAGCGACCACAAGGCAGCGCTGTCGCTAGTTAGTTTGGTTATCGCTGATACATAAATACGAATCTGCGATTTACCAACAATTATTGTTATAATTTCGCTATCGCTAGCCTTATGCAAGATACGTAATACGCCTACCGGGTTGCTCACTTATTGAGATTATTTATTTATATTACTGGAAAACACGACGAATGCTTTAGCCTCTGAACTAACACGGCTCTAAAAGTAGAAATGATTGCCGTTATTCCCGTGCTTAGCAGGTGAGCGTACTATCGAAGTACCAGATGTATTTCACCTTTGACGTTGTAATTATTGTATATCCAGCTTATACAAAACGTACGTGTACTATAACGGCGGAAATTTGAAGCAGAAAATAAATATAAGGGTCCTACCCTATTCAGCCTAACTAAGCTTCAGAACAGAAATAGAATAGAATTTTGTACGTGGTAGAGCCATGCTGCAGCTATATTAGTAGTATAGTTGTAGCACGAAGGTCGGCTCGACCGGGGTAGGACAACGCTCTCATAGAATACCAGCGTAAAATAGCAGCTCAACGCTGCTGTGTTTAGTATAGTGAGTATAAGGAATCGGAAACCCTTTTTACTGGACAAGAGGCATTCCATCTTAGTCCTCACGGGTGACATCTATTGAGGATAGATGTAGATGTCTAAGGGGCACAGTAACCACTCACTATCAGGTGGACTGTGTGATCGTTTGTCACGATATCCTATAATAAATTATATTTCTATTTTATTTTACTAGAGTTGTCAATTAGTTTGGCAAGTAATATTGCAATGTTAACCTATTTTAATAAATAACTTATTTAAATTATAAACAATCACAACCAACATCAAACTATATAACATATTTCTTTTCTAAGGTTTTACAGTCTATTATACAACTAAAATAAAATGTAAGAACATAATGAAAAATATAAAACTAAAACAAATTTGGATAGGGAATTATAACATTAGGTGGTGATAGTTTGCTTGTGTCTGAAATATTTATTTTTATTAACAATTCAAGATATGCAATCGTATCATATCACTATAATCTAATTTATAAAGGAATGATAGTTCCATTAGATTACATCTACTCCTGACCTGCATATGACTTTAAGAAATGATTTTGTAGCAGAGTCTATTTCACCTGAGGATGCCTCGTGTAGAGGCGAAACACGTATCGTATTATTATCGACGGTGGTGTGGAGGGCGGGAGGTGCTCTTCAAACTAGTTCAAAAATTGAAGTTAGCCGGGCTAACTATGACATCGGAACAACATTAAGCACCGGGAACATCTGGAATTAAAATTAAGAAACTAAACGCAATAAAATCCGTAAACATAGTTTTATTCAATGTGTAGTAGTGTTAGCGTTAATATAAGAAATCACTGTAAAACACATCATTTTATTTTATTGTGCGGATTTAAGCAAATTAACTTTTAGTAACTTTAATTCAAATGTACATGACGACTGGTCACACGGCCACTATCAGCCACTGCCTGGTTAGCATGATGTCTAGATTTGGCGAACTGTGGACAATTTATTGACTTATAAAAACGAGGAGGAGATAGAGATTCTATTATTTTAATTTATTATGATTGTTTGAGAAAAGATTTCAGTTGTTAATATGTCTCCGTTCCGGGGGTAAAGAGAGCAGCGCATAGTAATACAGAACTACTCTCCTCTTGCGGACCTCCTACCGTCTCATATGCGGTATACCACCAGATACCTCTAGATTAGAGTGAGTTGCGCGTTGTCCCACTGACTATTCTCAGTGACTCTGCCTTAAGTGTGAAGGTCAGAATAAGCTAACACATCTCTTGACGGCAATCTAATAGACAAAAGAGACGTTAGAAGACTAAGGTAAATTGCCTATTGCCTGTTATTGTACTGACTGTCTTGTCCCTTAAGCTGGAATACAACATCGTGACAGCCTTACCATTTAATTTTAAAATTCTTCTTTTTTTATCTTTTAAATAGCAACAGAACATTCCATCTTAGTCCACAGGGGTGACACTGCATCTGCTTTTAGATTTGGATCTTATTCTCTTTTATCTGATCTGTTTAAATAAACAAGGTATAATTGAAGTAAAGTAAAGTAAAATATACTTTATTGTACACCAAGGAACATATTACAGTATTTTTAAATTTAAAGGGACATTGGTACAACAGGCGGCCTTATCGCTAAAACAGCGATCTCTTCCAGGCAACCTTAGGGCAGGGGATACTATTTTAAAAGATAGCGGAAGGTACACCCCTAGAATATAATATAGAAAGATAAATATAAGAACATAAGTGATTAAAGGAAAAAAAAGTGAATGACGACAGGTATTAACTTAAGAGGAAAGATAATTATGTTTTAATTTATTTTTAAATATAGGAAGAGATTTAGATTATTTAATATGTAAGGGAAGAGAATTCCATAGTCGTATAGCGGTAATCCTAAAAGAATTAGAATAGAAGGAAGAGGAATGTCTAGGAGTACTTAGTAGGAGATTATTTTGAGATCGTAGAGGTAGAGTGTAAACTACTTAAATATATAAATCGGTCTTTGAAATAAGTAGTGGTCGGATTGAACAGAATGCAGTAAAGAAGACCTAATGCGTGGATTTGTTTTCGGAATTTTTGAATGAATTTTTGAATAAAAGCTTTTACAAAAATTTACATCGCAAATATCCGCGTTATAAAATAAAATGATGTGTCTTACCTAGTATGAAGAAGCACCTCCCGCCCTCCCTCAATTGCGTGCACTATCCCCGTCACCACTAATCCCAGCACCGCTACTTCCAACACCACTACACTAGGCAAGACACACCACTGACGATAATACGACACGTGTTTCGCCTCTACACGAGGCATCCTCAGGTGATATAGACTCTACGGTGGCTAACCGCTAAGTGAGCGGCGAGCCAAAACAAGTGCTTTTTATACAAACCGATGATGCAACCGCTCTCTACCTAACGAGCGAGCGATTGCGTCATGCGATAAAACATGCGACCAATCACCGCTGAACTTACGCAGCCGTTTGTAAAATTAAAAACAAACCGCCGCGCAACGCCCACATTATTAGAGAGCAGGCTTGAAGATATTTAAGAGAGGTGAGTTAGTAACATTTGTTTGTTCATTCAGCAATGCAACGGTATTATTATTACTTTTTAATATCTCTAACTGTTCCAGCACACATAGCCGCAGCCCTTTATTACACGTATGTAAGACTTTAAAGGAGTGGTCGTTGGCTAGGTTGTGTCCAGTGTCCAAAAGATGAATAATAATACCGTTGCATTGCTGAATGAACAAACAAATGTTACTAACTCACCTCTCTTAAATATCTTCAAGCCTGCTCTCTAATAATGTGGGCGTTGCGCGGCGGTTTGTTTTTAATTTGAAGTAAATTTTTGTAAAAGCTTTTATATAATGGATTTCCGCAAAGTAACGCCTGATTCTATTAATTATATGAATTTTTGAAATCAATTTTTAATTTCCAAAAATCGGAGCCATTACAATTACGTCCAAATGTAAAATTCATGAAACCAAATCCAAATAGTGTTTTCTTTTATTTTCTACCGACTTTAAAAAGTAGGAGGTACTCAATTCGACTGTATATTCTTTTTTATGTGCGTTACCTCATAACTTTTTTCTAGATGAATCGATTTCGATGATTCTTTTTTTATTTAAAAGCTGGTACTTCTCATGTGGTCCCATATAGTGCTTAGTGCTTAGTGCTCCCAACAAGTATTGATTTAATTTGTTGGGAGCACTAAGCTCGAAGTTGTTGACGAGTATGTTTACCTGGGACAAATAGTCCGACTAGGTAAGTCCAACTTCGCCCGAGAGGTCAATCGACGGAATCAACTCGGCTGGGCAGCGTTCGGGAAACTACGACACATCTTCTCATCAGACATTCCTCAAAACCTTAAAACGAAATTGTACAACCAGTGCGTGTTGCCAGTGATGATTTACGGATCTGAGCCGTGGTCCTTCACTACTGGCCGTATGAAGAAGCTAAAGGTCGCTCAGCGAGCTATGGAGAGGGCTATGCTCGGGGTTTCTCTGCGTGATAAACTTAGAAATGAGTATATCCGCAGTAGAACTAGAGTGACCGACATAGCCCAACGGATTTGTAAACTGAAGTGGCAGTGGGCCGTCCCTATAGCTCGAAGAAATGACAACCGATGGGGAAGAAAGGTTCTTGAGTGGCAGCTACGTACCGGTAGGCGAAGTGTAGGGCGACCCCCCACGAGATGGAGTGACGACCTGGTAAGACATGCAGGAAGTCGATGGATGCAGTTAGCTCAGGACCGTGCTTTGTGGCATTCCTTGGGGGAGGCCTATGTTCAGCAGTGGACTTATGAAAGGCTGTAATGATGATGATGATGATTTATTCTTAGTAATTTATATTGATATTGGTTGTACAAAAATTTTTATTTTAAATTGTGTAAATAAATCTTTCCATTTCCAACACGAGTATGGAAATTACTCTCTGGGACGTCTCAAAAACATTAATTTATGAGATATAAAAGTATTTTTATTTCTCAAAAAAAAAGTATTTTTATTATTATTAAAATTTTTGTATACAGAAAATATTCATGTCTAGTCCTCGTATGTTTTGCGCTTTGCCGTGATAAAGTAATTTGAATTTTTATATATTTTAATAAAGAGATCTCTACTAAAACTTGACCTAACAAATAACCGTTGACTACAACGTAAGGAAACAAGCAATAATAAAACCTAAGAAAGTAGGTGTCTAGGCTAGGTAAAATTATGTTACATAGTCAATGACTTATGTAACATAATTTTAAATAATAAAGTAGACCTGTGCTTTGCTACGGAGGCAAAGCAAATATGGCTAACGCTCTGTCCCGGCTCCCGGCGAAAATGTTCCACTGGAAGTTAACCAACAAAAAAGTGGGATATTCCGTTAGTACGGTGTGTGCAGAAAGATTTTTTTTTCACAATTTTCACGGTGGCCAAGATCAGATCCGCCTTCTAGCTGTTTCGACTAAGGAATCTAGTCACTGGTTACATACTGTACCGTCAAGTAATCTCGGCACATTGCTTGATGGGGAAAACTTGCGTATCACCGTAGAAATCCGTCTTGGAGCGGTAATTTGTCAACCTTACCAGTGCCCCGGTAGCAGCGTAGTAAAAATGCAGGTAGGTACTCCCGTTACGGTTCTTTGAACGAAGTTCCTTCGGTTTTAGAGCCTTGCGGGATATTTAGAGACGACGGCAAGATAATATGACTTTGGTCCCTTGGGAGAGAGGTAAAGGCCTAGTGTGAGATGCTACTTGCATAGATACTTTGGCAATCTCTCATTTCAAGGATACCCCGTTTAGAGTCAGGGTGACATCAGAGGTAGCTAAATTAAGTAAGTGGCACAAATATAAGTCTTTAAGAAATGACTACATATTTATGCCATTTGCTGTTGAGACTATCGGTCTGCGTGACTATGGGGTCTACGTGCGGTGAAGTTTCTAAAGGAACTGTACCCGCGACTGGTCGTCACTGCTGGTGATAAGAGGGCTGGTTCTTTTCGCGCTCAAAGGCTAAGTATAGCCATTCATCGGGGAAACTCAGCCAGCGTTCTTGGCACGATACCACGTGGAGTAGGACTGTATAACAATTTAAATTTTTAGTTTTAGTTTGTCTTTATTATATTTTTTTTAATAATGTGTTGTAACCTTTTAGTTAGATTTCGTTTTATACAATTTTTCAACAAGATCCAAATGAAATAAAAAATTCTTCGTTACTACTAGTAACAATTATATTATCAGTTGGAGATACATAAATAATACGCATTGACTGTATTACTTTTCCTCGAATTAATAATTAATTATCTTATTAAATGAACTTTCGGGAAAATAGCAGCATCAAAAGATTTAAAAAAAAGATTGTTATTGATTAGAATTTTGTAGGGTAAGCTTAAAACGGATTAATAATTTCACAAAGATCCGATCCGATCTATCTTAGATTAGATGAAATCGTGGCTTTCAAAGGATGTGATTGACTTATCTATAAAACTGAATAGATAGATAATATTAATCAATATATAATGTTTCCTAAAACAAACAAACGAGGTAGTTGCACCGCATGCAAGGAATCGATTAAAAATGCAGTTGCTAGTGATTCTTATTCCTGCACTTTTTGCCGCAATAGCAGTTGCAGATGGCGATAATAAAGAACTCCCTCTAGCTGAGGCATGTGACGAAGATCTTTGTAAATTGCCAAACTGCCGATGCTCGTCCACCGAAATTCCCGGAGGATTAAAACCAAGAGATACTCCCCAGGTATGTACAGCATATTAAGATAAAACAAAAATAAACATTTATGTAAGATAAACCTCTGTAATCAAAATAGCTGTAAAATATTAACCGATTTCTATTATCAGCATTTATACTTTTGTAATTTATAAGGAATATGCCACTATGAACATGTTTATTCTCAAAGATATCGTATCACATACCTTAAAACGAATAAGTAGTCGTATCGATAGCGCTGCCCTTTTTCTACCGACTTCAAAAAGGAGCCGGTACTCAATTCGAGTGTATGTTTTTTTTAATGTGTGGTACCTCATAATTTCTTACTGGGTGTTTCGATTTCGATGATTCTTTTTTTTTTATTTGAAGACTGGTGCTTCCCATGTAGTACCATATAAATTTAATCAAGGTATGACCAATAGTTTTTTAATTTCTTAATAATTTATATTGAAGTCGGTTGTACAAAATTTTTAATTTTTAGGGTTCCGTACCTTAAAAGGAAAAACGGAACCCTTATAGGATCACTTTGTTGTCCGTCTATCTATCTGTCTGTCTGTCTGTCTGTCAGTCTGTCTGTCTGTCAAGACCCTTTTTCTCAGGAACGCGTGGAGATATCAAGCTGAAATTCATATCAAATACTCAAAGCTACTGTCCCTTGGAGCTGTGAAAAAATCAAACTCCTAAGCCAACGCAATCAAAAGGTCCAGCCGTTTATGCCGCAAATTTTAGACATTCGCTAGGGAATCTAAACCTACAGGGTACTTCCCGTAAACTCAGAACCTTAAAATTTGGTACGAAGCAACGTATTATAGCACAGATAAAGGAAAAATTGCGAAAAGCATAAATTTTTGGTTACATCATATAATAAAAATATTTTAGTAATTTTAAACTTATATACCTACGGATTTGTTCGGAACCCTCGTTGCGCGATTCCGACTCGCACTTTGCCGGTTTTTAATTATTGATGTCATTTTTTTATAAAACCTAAGTGACAAACAAACTTACAGCCCACCCACGTAGGTCAAGACAACTCACCTGTAGAGGCTACAGGTGAGTTGTCACCTCGGAGAACTTAGGTGGGATGCCTCAAAGCCTGTAATTATGCTGACTCTCTATGATCTAGCACTGCTATTTGGCTGCAAAAAAGTTAAGAGGGTGGTATCTACACAGACGGGCTCCCTCCAGAAACGGAATCATATCATTTAGTAAAAGAGAAAAATGCGTTCATGCTTTACATCTTTTTCATTGTTGATTTCTTACTTGTCAGTAAATATATAAACGAATGTTTAGTAAAATATGTTCTTAATTTTGTTGACAGTTTGTTCTTCTTACATTCGACGATGGTATTAATGTACGCAACATAGAAACTTATCGCGAGATCGCGTACAAACGTCAAAATAAGAACAACTGTCCCGCTAGTGTCACCTTCTTCATGATCCATGAGTACACAGACTATCGACTGGTTAACGAACTTTATAACCAAGGTTTCGAAATCGCCCTTCATTCCATCTCTCACCAAACTAATCAGACATATTGGGCTGAGGCAACTTACGATGATATGTTGAAAGAATTCGGAGACCAAAAACTTCAAGTTGCTCACTTTGCTAATATCCCCGAAAATGCTCTTCAAGGTAAATAATTTTTAATGCTTCAATAAAAGCAAAGATTTATTTATTTCATCAATAATATCATCTATCATAGATAAAATTATTTAGAATGGAGAATTATTTATGTTTTTAACTGCTAAAAATGTAGTAGAAGTAAGAAATACACTAACTTAATTATCAATAGGAAAATTATTCAATAATTTAGAAATATTTATTCGAGTATTTAATTTAATAACGATTTATTTTATTATGCAGGCGTTCGCATACCGTTCCTTCAAATGACGGGAAATGCCAGTTTTCAAGTCATGGCAGATGTTGGTTTTAAATACGACTCGTCATGGCCAACAATTAGTCACGTAGATCCAGGACTATGGCCTTATACTTTAGATTATGCTTCGACCCAAGATTGTATTATTCCTCCTTGTCCAACTGCGTCAATACCTGGTGTTTGGGTGTTACCTATGGTCAGCTGGACTGACTTGGAGGGATACCCTTGCTCTATGGTCGATGCCTGTATATATACGTAAGTACCTTGTGGATGTTTATACATAAAATAGTAATAAGTTCAGCTCAATTATTTAAAGTATGTTAGGAAACGATTCCCACCTTAACGTGGTTCCGTTCCATTCCGTTTCAGCTTATGAAAAGTCCACTTTGGAAACAGTTGGAAACCGACTCCAGTACTCACACCACTAAGGTTGATAAAATAATGAAACTACAAGTATGTGTAAACAGAAGCCTAAATAAAAAACATCAACCATATGCAACCAACTATGAATTTTGGCAACATTTTGGCGCGACGTAACTCGTAACTAGCGCCATCTAGTTTACAAAATTAACATTCACCATAGATCTGCCATAGTTACTACGCCTGGCAGGCGGGTTGGTAACCGCAGCTGTTTTATTTATTAGTTGTTGCTTGTCGCCTCGTAAGACACCCAGGGGACGATATGCGGTAATCGATATTCTTACACCGCCATTACACGGTTCGTGTCAGGTCGACAGCAAGCAAATAGTCAATTGCAATTTTAAGTGCTGATTCAAATTTATAACATGCTAGGCGCTGAAGGAAAACATTATTTTAAGAAAATGCAACGACCGCCTACACATATTGGAGCAATGTGACAGCATCTATTCTATTTAATTCTACACCTTATATTCAGTACCTAATGAGAGTAGCTGTGGCTGTCATTTAATTTAACTTTTAACGTTTATTATTGTTTTTATTCGAAACATTAACTACTTTCTTAAAAGTAACAAAATGGGACGCAAACAGAATACTTAATTTTTGATTAAGAACGATATAACAAAATTTGTACATGTAGTGGTTATATACGTGGTAGAGCAATGCTGCAGCTATATTAATAGTATAGTTGTAGCACGAATGGGTCGGCTCGACCGGGGAAGGACCACGCTCTCACAGAATACCAGCGTAAAATAGCAGCTTAACACTGCTGTGTTTCGTATGGTGAGTGTAGAGAACCGGAGACCCTTTTTACTGGAAATGAGGCATTTCATGTTAGTCCTGACGGCTGACAACGCATCTACATTTTAATTCGCAAACGAAGATAGATGTAGATGTCTATGGGCCACGGCAACCACTTACCATCAGGTGGACTGTGTGCTCGTTTGTCAACCTTATTCTATAAAAAAATACTCTTTAGTTTGGTATAAAACAAAATTAACTTTCCAAAAATGCATGAATAATACAAATTAATAAACTGTTTCATTTGACAATTTTACTTAGACTGTACTCTACTTTTTATTTCAGTCACAAGACGATAGGAAATAGTTATTATGATTTTTATTAATAAATCTTTGTTTAACAGACCACCACGCGACGATGAAGAAAAATGGTTTCAATTTATCCTAAAGAACTTCGAAAGGCATTACCTCGGCAATCGAGCTCCTTTTGGTTTTTACGTACACGAATGGTATATCTCCGCCTACCCTGCCGTGAAAAGAGCTTTAGTTAGATTCTTGGATTTAGTAAATAATCTTAATGATGCTTTCATGGTAAGTATTTACTTGAATTAAATTTACAGTTTGCCATTCCTTGAACTTATCATCGACGATAGTCGAGATATATAATGTTGAAACCTGTTAAAAAGCCGTGTCCTTTCCCCGAGTAGTAAATCTAAAATATCTTTCAACATGATGCTCATAGGCCTACAGATTGTATCATAGAGGGATATTTGCCATAGCAATCACGCTTGGCAGCCGGGTTCCCAACCGTAATTTTTTATTAGGTATTATCCTTGAGGTGTTGTCAGGAAGATGTTGTTGTCCATCCCCTATCAAATATATACCTCATGTTTATGTGGCATGGCGACGCCATGGTGGCGGAAAAAGTCATGGATACCCTCATTGCGTTCACTATATCTACCTGTCACCACTAATCCTAACACTAAGAAAGATACACCACCATCGATAATACTTGGTTTTTATTTAAAAAAAAGGTCGCCTACATAGGTACTACATAAATTGACAAATTTCGAGGAGAAATCGAAAATAAAAAATGATCTATAGTATGGTTTTAATTAGAGTTTTATTTAGTGGATAGGCCTTTATTAATTCAGTGCGCTTCACCATCTTCGGCTGCATCACCACTTACAATCAGATGGGATTGTAGTCAAGGGCTGGCTTAGAATATTAATTTAAAAAATCATATAGTATTGAATAGGCAAATGATGGTAGTTTTATATTATTTAGTTTAATATGTTAATCAACGGTACAAATAATTTAATATAATTTGAGTGATACGTGTACTGTCAATGTAAGAATATCTACCAGCCCATATCATCCTGTGGGTGTCGTAAGAGGCGACAGAGGGAAACAAATCAGATGGGCAGTAGCGTCTACCTAATGAAGACTAAAAAAACTGCGGTTGCAAACCCTCTTTCCAAGCGTAGCTACTATGAAAGATATCTTCCTTATGAGGATATCTAAGGGGGAGGCATATGTTCTTCAGTGGACTTTAATAGGCTGTAACGGTAACGTTAATTTGAGTTCCGTAAGGCATCGTGTCAAAATACATCTCCCTACATTAATGATAAATATAATTTTAACTATTCCTATATTATCCAGGTGAGTACGAGTGAAGTTATTGACTGGGTACAAAACCCTATCCCATTAGACGAATACGTTAAGAAGGACTGCAAAACATTCGTACCGACCGTTTGTCGACCTGCAAGCTGTGGACCTTTAAGTTCTTCGCATAATGAGGTAGGTGTTGGACTTGTACTCACTTGTGGCTTGTATCTCAAGATCTTGTTTTGTGGCGTTCCTTTTCTACGTTCAGCAGTGGTTTTGTGAAGGGCTGTGTATGATGAAGCACTTTGTTGATGAAATTGTTTATCCGAATGCAAATACACTACATAATTAAATTTAACAATTGAAAACTGAAAACTGAAAACATCTATAAAAAGAAAGTGTCACGAAAATATTTGACAGTGCAACACTTGTAAATGTGTTTTTCTTGTAGTAATAAAACATGATCTTGTTCGATAAATATTTTTAAATTATAAGTATGTACATAATGTTATAATAATAAATGATAATGAGACTAGGATGCACGCTGGCCGCGTCTATAGCTACCTACGCGGGCGGCGGCATCGCTTGACATCAAAGGCGTTTCACAACTGTAACTGTGACACTACTTTGTGCATGAACTTAATGAACGAAAGAATTCTTGGCAATAAGTCATTCAAAATTGCCCAACCGAAATACCATACAGTACTGAAGAGCAGTATGGGCTATGCTCTCACCAACTCGCCTGCCAAGCGTAATGTAAATAAGTCTAATCTTTAAATTTATATATGCCTGGTAGCTAAATCTTGTAAAGCCCTATGACTGAAAAGTATTTAATAAGACAACAATTTGCAATGACCCTTTGTTATAAAACTAGAGATACGTATAGAATAGGCAACATTTTTTTTTATTTATTCTTATATTTTATTGTTGCAGATGAGCTACTGGATGCAAATTTGTAATACATGCCCAAAAGTTCACCCTTGGCTTGGAAATCCTCTCGGAAAATAATTTAATATTTCTTAAATTTGTAATTTTTGTCAATTAATTATATATATGTATTTTATAAATAAATTTTCAATTAATTCTGTCCTATATTTTTTGTAAGCTTGCGTTATTTTTATCGTACAGTAAATTTCACATCAACTATTTGGTTCTCATACAATAACTGTGAGCTCTAGCATATGGGATAGGAATGGGTTATCTTCTTTTTGGATGTTTTGCCCCCGCTGAGCACCTAGTAAATCAACGCTTAAAATTACAATAAAAATGTTAATGGGGTCTGCACTGGGAATTTAGCTCAAACTTATCACGAATTATAGACGTCTATATTATTAGCTTGTTTCCCAGATCAAGAATTCCTAACTGGGCGTCGCGACGCTCAGGAAACAGGAATCGGGGCGCTTTCCGGGGGTGTCACCCGACGATACGCACAGGTCGCTTCAATAAAGGAATTTAAAAGAAAAGGTCGCCTAAATGCGACGTAATTGGCTAGTTACTAAGTCATAACATTCATACTAAAAAGCTATGAGAATAGCGATGTGAATACTTCAGCCCCGATTTGAGAAGTTCTCAAGATATACTTTGTATAAAGTAACTTTAATACTCGTATCTTCAGGAGGTAGAGGTCAAGATCATCTTATTTATAATTTCACGCGCCTCTCATCGAATTAAATGGTGCGCAGATTTAGATTGTATGATACCTAATATGGTAAATGTGACAAAATATACTGAAAATACAGCGTGTGCAGTTTTAAATTGGACGATATCTATTCTTCTCTTAAAAAATATGCAACTTGCAGTAAAAACTACGATTGCGAACACATTAAATATTATATGTTTTTACTAGCTAGCCAGGCAGACGTTGTTCTCCCCTTTTCGACGACCCTTCATATAAAAAATCCTTAAATTCGTTATAAAAAATATTGAGTGTCACTTATCAGAATAAAAAAATCTCTCAAGTTGGACCAAACTGCATAAAGTGTGCAAAATTTCATTGAAATCAGTTCAGTAGTTTAGGAGTTCATCGTGGACAAACAACGTGACACGTAATTTTTATATATAAGGATATACAAAGTGTGTATGAAAAAGCTTCTTATTTATAAAATTTGACCTCGATGGAGAATCTACACCAGATACGCCAGAATCTGAGCGAAATATAAGCTGTCTTCAATAACGTATCAACAAGAATCTGTTGATAAACGATAAATTTGTATAAGGAGCTAACAACAAGCAAAATAAAATTTCCGTGCTTTCTAACACATTTATTTTATTCAATGTACATCGAATAGTAACTATTTCATATTTAAGACGATAAACCTAAAAGTCTTTTCCTTAACCCTAATAACGATACAAATATATTTGCATTGATATAAGAGAGTAAGAAATCCGAATTGATAATTATTTAAAGATGCTTGTAGTCGAAATTACATTATGTAAAATTTCTTACATTCTGTTACAATCAATTGATTTCCAATTATTATTATGTTTTTGGAATTTTCATGAATGAGACATTTTGGCAAGATAATATAGGCCTAGACATTAACTTTAAGAATCATACTTACTTATAAGAATCATAAAAAGTATTTACAAATAAAGATACGGACATTAAGCACTAAGGATTTGGGAAATTTTATTCACGAACTACATCCGCAATAGATACAATATTGCTATAAGGTAGAAATCTATCACAATCTAATACAATAAGTTACTATGATAAACATATTTACACAATATTTTAATAAGATACGAATAAAAGAAAATATAGAAATAAAAAAGTGTTTTTAAACGATCATACTAAAAAGAGAAACATTATTGCTTCTGAGGTAGAACAAAAAATAAATACTATTAAGTACAAACCAAAATTCAAATCTATTTACAGCTGCTTAAACAACCATATCTTAGCTGTCATAGCCGATCTCGTATAATGGAAATCTAGAAATGTTTTATTAAAATTAATCTTACTTAAATCTAATATTAACAGAACTACATACTTACTATTTACAGCTCTGTACACGGTAAAACGTAAAATAAGTTATTATAATACTGTAAATAATTTTTAAAGCTGATGATCAGAAGAAACATAAAGTAATCAATTCCTATAATTTAAAAATAATCAGTCCATTCGCTGCGTTAAGTGTCGATGAATGCTAAGCCAAATATTAGATTATTGTTTTATTATTGAGGCAATCATTATCCATTATATGTCACATATTCATAATTATTAACTTTTCCAAAGCAATAATATGTATTATATAAAAGAAAGCACATTTTCATCACAAATTTTAAAAAAATTATTTGCATCGATTCGTTGATATAAGTATTATTGTTTACTTCGCAATCCTATTGTCTATATTCATAAAATTATTATTACCTCGAATATTTCTACATATTGGCTGTTATTATCTAGGTCAATTTAGCATTTTATACAAAAAAATATATATAACAGGAAAAATTACTGTACTAACAATTAAAGCCACAAAGGTACGGCCGTTTGCAAAAGTCATAGTAGAACAAATAGTATAGATATAGAATAGAATAGAAATAGAAATATTTTGAATCTTATGCCGCTGTGTTAAGTTTTATGTTATCGTTGATAAATCATGTTATTAATTAATAGGATTTCCAGGTAAAGTTAAATCTGAACTTATGCCTCTGTTTTCTTCCTGAATAATGACACTAGAGCAAATAATATTTCCTTACTACACAATCTATATCTACCTCTGTCATGTTTCTTGGTTTTGTTTTTCTCCATAAATTAATTATTTTAAAAACGATGAACCTTCTAAACTTAATAAGACTGACCAGTTATACCGCCAGTATTAGACATCCAGCAAACAAATTTAACGAACATAATAAAAGAATAACATGAAAGACAGCCATATGCATAGATATAAATTGAATCGGTTCAGTTTTGGAGGAGGTAACATGGAAATACGAGATGATGAATTCCTTTATTTTTCATAGTTATAATCAGTCTGAACAGCAGTTATTGTCTATTCCAGTTGTCTAGCTCGGTCGTTCGTCTAGCTTAGCGCAACAGCAATATATTGTTAAAACCTACTCTTCAAATTTTTTGCAGCTTCGGTATATTTTGTGTGATTGAATTGTATGTCCGCGATTTGAACCTTTATTTGCTTTATAACCATATGGCTTTTACAAATTACCACTTAATATTAAAAACAATATTCCGAGCAAATGACTGTACATAAATATGTCTGTACAAACAAACAAAAATTTAGCCTCAAGTTCTCAAGTGTTTTATTATTGAAACTGACATATTTGTGCAAAGCAAGAATTATAAATGATATCAGGATAGTTTAAAATTGAGAGATATCAAAGTAATTGAAAATTTATATTTAGATAACATTGTTATTTGGTTTATGAGTCAAGAGTCCGGTACGTCATCGGCCCGTGTTGCTTTATGGTCAAGAGACGTAGTTTTATTATTTTGAGACTCAAGTTTTCCCACACAATTGTTACATTATACAATTACACGGCAGCTTATACATAGATAATATTGTTATACATCGTTTCTTTATTCCTAATTGCACACATGATGGTCTCGCTTATATCGACAAATCTCGCAATGTACTCGACAGCACCAAACGAACCGGCAACGGCATTTCTCCTCGTGATCTCGAACTCGAGTCTGGTATCCACGACCACAACAAAGTAGGCGGCAACCGTCGAGACCCGCTGATGTTCTGTTGCATGTTCTACCTCGAGTACCAAGAATGCCCAATCTGAGAAACAAATAACATAGTCTGGTTGACAAAGCTTAGAGACATGTCGAATCAAATGAAATTAATTATTTCTGTAAAATATTGGAAAAAAACCGGCCAAGTACGAGTCAGATTCGCGCACCGAGGGTTCCGAACAAATCGGTAGGTACATAAGTTTAAAACTATTAAAAATATTTTTATTATCTGATGTAACTAAAACTTTATTCTTTTCGCAATTTTTCCTTTATCTGTGCTAAAATACGTTGCTTCGTACCAAATTTTAAGATTTTGAGTTCACGGGAAGTACCCTGTAGGTTTTGATTCCCTTGCGATTGTCGAAAATTTGCGACATAAACGGCTGTATCTTTTGATTGCGTTGGCTTAGAAGTTTGATTTTTTCACAGCTCCAAGGGACAGTAGACTTTGAGTATTTTATTTTATTGAGTAATTTCAGCGTGTACGTGGTACGGAACCCTAAAAATTATTATTATACATAAAATTATTAGTTATCATTTTTTAACCAAATATGTATTTAGTTTTATATTAATTATTTATTTATACTAATAATATTATATATATATATATATATATATATATATATATATATATATATATATATATATATTACATTATATACATATTTAGTTGAAAAAATAACTTATAATGTATTTTTCTATATTATATTTTATTTATAAAATATTGGATTTTAAAGAAATTAATAATTTCAATAATAAGTGACAATATATATTATTTAGATATGTATTATTTATTTATTTCTATATCTAAAGAAAGTATCATCTCCGTTGTGTAGTGGCGGCGTAAGAATATTCACTACTACTCCTTAACATTCCGTGGGTGGCTAAAGAGGCGACAGAGAGAAACCGAATCAGAAGATAGGCAACAGCAACCTACTGATAAGTCAGGTATTTGAAAATAATATAAACTGCTTTTACCAACCCGCCTGCCAAGTGGCAACTATGGTAAAATCCCCCCTAAGAGACAACCTATGCGGGAGTTGGAGGCCTATGTGCAGCAGTGGACCTTTAAGAGGCTGTAAAGAATAAATTATTAAATAACTAAATTACATATTAACATTAAAAAATAGTCACATATTTTTTTTATATTTCTGGATAGTATAGTTAATACAAAAAACACCAAACAATTTAACTTTTTTTTTTCCTTTTCTTTTGTTTTATAATTTTTTTTCTTTGAATCGTCGTAACAGGATTGTGAAGTGCCGATACGCGGCGCGAGTAAAAACTTTCAAAAATGCTATTTGTTTCATACAGCCAGCTCCGTTTCACCGTATTGTGTTATAGAGAGTTGCAAGTCTTGGAGGCAATTGCCTACATTTCCTTTTTGAAATATTGTTTCGGGTGATTACGTTTTCACCCCCCTAAGCCTTTACGAAATGTGATAATTTTGATCCTATTATATTTAGTACATCTTAATCCTTAAACTAGGTCTGTACGTTTTTCTTTTTTAGTAATTCAGTTTATTTTAATTTAAAAAATGGTTGAGGATCTTTTTAAGTCAAAATATAGATATATATGCTTAGACGCTAATAACTTATACCGTACGCAATATCGCTTTAAAATAAAAACGTACGCACCTAGTTTTCATTATATCCACAACATTTCCAAAAAATAATGAACATTAGACTATGTTTACAGGGGGAAAACCTTATCACTTTCTGTATTAAAATTTACAGGTTCACAATCCTTTTAAGAGTTGTATGTACATTTACTACTCCTTAAGTAAATATCAGAAATATTGAAAATTGATGGTGTTAAACGCGTGCTGCAAGATGTTTACTAAAAAGTCTTTAAAATAAGTAAGTTACATTCTGTTTTAAAGTCTCATGGTCATCACAGGTTTCTTGTCAATTCTAATAGAGTTTTCGGAGCAATTTATCTGCCGTGCTGCTCCAATTCGTGCTGGTAGACTTCACATGTTCTCGCAATATATCTATTTCCTCAGATATGCAGGTTTTCACAAAATATTTTTCTTTACCGCTAAGCCCGTGAAAAAGCAGCTCTTAAAATTACGATTTACAATTTCAACGTGTCGGCGGGAATCGAACCCGGATTGCTCACGTACTGTGTTATTTACGTAGATCGTAGTCATATATTAACAGTATTTAATCAAATAATCCTGTTATAGAAAGTAACCCTTAGAAAAATATCTATTTATATTTTCGAAAATATTATATGGTTTTAATTTAACTTACTCGTCATTGGGTTCACAGTAATCAGGAGATTCTTCCAAATATACCAAATCAGTTTTATTTGGTTTTTTCATGTCAGCATGTATTGGCCGCAGCTTTCTTATATTTTTGCCTCGTTTACGGTCAACTACCTAGAAATTAAAAAAAATATATTGTAGGGATTGCTAATACTGCTCTTATAAGAGACTACTTTTAGACTGAGCTCTGTCCCAGCTCCAGCAGTGGACTTCTGCGGGCCGATGAAGAAGAATATATATATATATATATATATGTGTGTGTGTGTGTGTGTGTGTTTTTACTTATTATAAGCCAGTGCTTGATTATAATCCCACTTGGTGGTAAGTGGTGATGCAGCCCTAGATGGTAAATCGCACTGTCTTAGCGTAACAAAGCCTATTCACTGTTGCCTTGAAGACGCTCAGATTGTATTCGGACGGAAAGATAGACGCCGGCAAATTATATATTAATTAATTAATTATATATATATAACGAACACTACAAACAGTATAAAACCACTTTTATGGATTTTATCGCGCTTTTTTTATCTCCTGAAGTTACAATCCTTACGGTTTATATACAATACGTAACAAAAGCCCTGTGGTTCCCGTTAAGTACGTTATCACGATCATTATCTATACTTAATATAATAAAGCGGAAGAGTTTTTTTGTTTTTTTGTTTCTTTAAACGCGCTAATCTCTGGAACTACCACTCCTATTTGAAAAATTCTGTTTGTATGTTATAGCCAGATTCATGTGGAATAGTATAGGCTATCTAGCATTAAGCTAGAGAAGAAAAAGCACTCCTGAAATGATTTATCCGCGTACGCTGGTGTTATCGTTAGGGATACGTAAATACAATGTTCTAGAAAAATATAGATCTTTTCTCCATCTTAAAAAAGTCCGCGATACCATATATCTATTTCTTATACATAAGCCATAATTAGGTATTTTATGACAAAAAATATTGAAAATTTAAAAGTGATTTATGAGCGTTATTATTAGGCATGGCCTATTTATCCTTACGAACTAGAGTTACTTCATCATCAAGACAATTTTATGAAGATAAACTGCTCTTTATACCATGTTATTTGGACGCATAGTTTAAGAGATAATGTAAAATTAAAATAATTCAATACTTGGCTGAGCGCGCGAACGACACATAAACCTTAGCCGCCCGGTGAGAACTGCGAGAACTGCTCAACCGGGAGGGGGAGGGAAAGTGGATGAAACTTAACTTCGCTCTACATCATACATAATATGCCGACAGATAAAAGTACTCCATTAATTATGCCAATTTTTCCATCCATTGCTATCAAATAAAATATTTAATTGCAATTATAAAATGCTTGGACTAGGTCATGTCACGCACATCAGACACATGATGACGCGGGTGAAACCGCGGGGCACAGCTAGTTCAAACATTAGATATAACTTTTTTTTTAAACTTGAACAATATTTTTTATTTTATTTAAAAAAGAATAATTGTATGCAATTTGTATGTGGTTTTATTACCTCTGCATTGTCTGGGGAGTAAGAGGATTGTCAAAGACCTCGCTTTAATTAGCTTTAGCATCGGCTAGTGTCAGTAAGAGGTAATAAAACCACATAAAATTTAAAAAAATATTTTTAATAAAATTTAAAACAAAATTTTAATAAAAAGTAATTTCTATAGGTTTGAATACTGATCCTGATAACTTACTTAACGGGAACCACAGGGTTTTTGTTACATGTTGTATAGCACAAATTCCAAACTAGCACACGGGACTTTAATCGCTCTCCAGGCTGGACACCTTTTTCCTTCCACGGTTAAAATATTATGCATGAACTCCTGAAAACATAATTTACAAAGGTAATAGTTACCTTAACATGTGAAGCGCCCTCATATCTAGTGGTGAGTGCGTCGCCGACCAGACGGAGTTGCGGCAAGCGGCGCCAGCACACCCGCACCGAGCACGAGCCCGACATGCCGTGGCACTTGCACACGCGCTGCATACGACTACGCACCGCCTGGACACAACAACACACCCCATTAGGGTTTTTTTATAGAATAAGGGTGACAAGCGAGCATACCTGATGGTAAGTGAATGCTATGGCCCATAAACACCTACATCTATCCTCCATTAAGGATCCAAATGCAGATGCGTCGACACCCCTGAGAACTAAAATGGATTGCCTCCTATCCAGTTCTCTACACTCACCATACGAAACACAGTAGCTAAGGGCACATAATAAATATAGGGTATATTACAAATATAAATTTATGAATTAAAATAATTTCTGGGAATGAGGTAATCGCTACCATGGGGTTTCTATTATAATTGTGAATGATAAAAATACACAATTATTTTATACCTAGTCAGGTCATAAATTCTGTCACATGTTTAATATAAAATAATTGAAACAAGTTTATTCATTATGTCACCATTTATATACCAAAATGAACTTAACAAAACATAGATTCTTATTCTAATGACACTAAAGTTTATTCAAAATGATCTCCGTGATTTTGAATACAGGCCTTCAATCTGCGCGGCCAGTCGTCTATCGCAGCACGAACGAGGTCCATGTCAATATCGGCGGCTGCCTTAATCAAGGATGTCTTGAGTGACTCCAAATTGGGATGAGGCTTTGAGCACGCCTTTTCCTCCAAGTGTTGCCATATCTTGTAATCTAACGGATTCAAATCTGGACTGGAGGAGGGCCAGTCTTCGTGCCGGATGAAGTCGCTTTCACGCGCCCCCAGCCAGTCTTGTGTGCTCTTCGCTGTATGAGCTGGCGCCGAATCTTGTTGGAATACCCAGTGCCTGTTATTGAACATGGTATGAGAAACAGGTTCCACAAGGTTCGTCAGGACTGTATTTTGATACACAACTGCATTAGTTTTTACACCTTTCTCACAAAAATGTACCTCTGTTAAGCCCCAATAAGAAACTCCCAACCATACATACCATGAGCGAGGATGGAAAATGACCTCGTTGGACACGCGGAATACGGTTGCTCGCTTCTTCACCACCTTATCATTTTGTTGATTGTAGCTCTCTTCTACGGTACAAAATTTTTCATCCGAATTTCCCGATTTTATTTTCCCGCGTCGCGCTTTAACAAAGCGCGACGTCTCTTCAGTCTCAGCTCTATATCGATATGCCCGAAGCCCTAAGTCTTCATTTAACACCCTTTTCACCGTGGTTCTGCTTAACCCCATCTGAAGGGCCAACAGTTTCTGCTTACGTTTGGGATTTCTTTGAATTCGCGCCTTCACAGCTTTTATCACTGCTGGAGTCCTAACAGACCGAGGGCGACGACTTCTTGACCTGTCATCTACACTAGAGTCTTCATTGTATCGTTTGATGGTACGATAAACGAATCTTTTGGTTATATTAAAATTTTTCAGAATGTCAAAAATTTAAATTGGCGCGTAACCGCAACGATGCAACGCAATAACTGCAACACGGTCTTCTTTAAGCGTCCACTCCATATTTAAAAATGAGTAAAAGTCTAAAAAGTATACAGTTTTATTTTCATGAACAATTCGAAATTCGAATTCAATAAACTTTTTGTGGCCAGCATTCTAAAAGAAAAGTTTTTACTGTGTGACAATACTTATGACCCGACTAGGTAGTATGTATGTATTTTCCGAACCAATAGTAAAATAAAAAATACTTTCAATAAGTATTATGTGATAATCTATATTAAACAAAAATTATTTTAATCTATTAAATTAGCGACCCGATAGACGTTGTTCTGCCCTTTCCGCCAGGTGACGTGATTTCACTACGAATTCACTCTGACTTTTACGGTGCAAGCATAAAATGTATTGACTCAACCACAACGCTACCTATCGGGTCTAAATTTTTGGTAATATTCCAATATTGTGAAAATGAATCATTTCTAATCAATAAAATAAAATTTGTTAATGACTTGCTTACGCCACCTGTCGAATTCTAGCACAGCTACTACTACTCGTATGAACTATCGTCTCCACAAAAAAACTACTGCGCAATGTAATCACTAATTAAAACATTTTTCGCAAATAGAACCAAAGTATCCGATATAACCCAATGGATCAGTAAGCTGAACTGAAGTGTCAATGGACCGGCCATATATCGGACAACCCACAATCGTTTATTTCTCTAGAGGCCTTGTTTTTCCAAAGTGTACCCCCCCCCCCCCTCCACACTACCTATATAGAATGACAACCTGGTGATGATGGTAAAGATGCAGTCGGCTCAGGAATGTTTTTTGGGATTCCTTGGGAGACAACTATGTTCAGAATTATACTTGCAATGGCTGTATTGATGATGATGATGAAAACGTTCGGCAGTGAGGAATAAACGAACATGTTTAGGGGAAAGCAAAGGAATCGGTTAACGGTGGTAGAGCCACGCAGCAGTTTTTGCTGTTGCACGTATGGGCCGTCTCGAGCCGGGTTGGTATCACGACCTCACAGAATACCGGCGTGAAGTAGAAGTTCTGCTTCTGCGTCTCGTCTGGTGAGTGCAGGTAGCCGGAGGCCCAATCCCCCCCCCACCCCCCCATCAACATGGTAGCGGATTTACACACCAAAGACTACCCCAGGAGGGTACCAGCACCCCGAAACGCCGTCCACTACCACCTCGAGACAGCGAAGCCGGCCTTGCTCTTTCTGACCGAGACGCAGATGTCCTCTCCGACTGATACTTCGTATCTCTCCTACCCGGGGTACAAATTGGAGCACTCCTTTGTGCCTCGGGCTGGAGTTTGCGTGTATGTCAGAGAGGACATTTGTTCTCGACGCCTCGGCAGTCTTGAAGGTTCGGACCTGTCCATCCTTTGGCTACGCGTAGACAGCGACGACCATCCGCGCGTCTACGGGTGCCTCTATAGGTCCCATAGCGGTAATGCCGAAACAGACCCACTCACCGACCACGTCCAAATGGCTACAGATTCCTTGCTACAACAGGTCCCATCCGCAGAGATCGTGATCCTTGGCGATTTTAACGCCCACCACGCCGAATGGCTCGGTTCACGTTTAACCGATCATGCGGGGAGATCTGTTTATGACTTTGCCTTGGCATATGGTCTGACACAACTGGTTACTTCGCCTACGCGGATTCCAGATGTGGAGGATCATACACCTTCCCTGTTGGACCTTCTGCTGACCTCTCATCCGGACGGATATCAGGTTTCCGTCGATGCCCCTCTCGGATCTTCGGACCATTGTCTGATTCGGAGTGTGGTGCCACTCACGCTCCCCTCGCGGTTGCGTTCTGCAGGTTGCCGCCGTGTTTGTCATTACAAGTCAGCGGATTGGGACGGAATGCGGTCTTTCTTTGCATCCTACCCATGGGGGGGTTTGCTTCTTGCCGGATGATCCCAGCGCTGTTGCTGACTCTGTCACTGATGTGGTGCTACAGGGAATGGAACTATTTATTCCATCATCTGTGGTACCCATCGGAGGCAGATCTCAGCCTTGGTTTGGTCGCTCCTGTAAGACTGCATTACGCAGTAAGCAGGAGTGTTATCAAGTCTGGGCTGCGTCTTCGGCGACTCGGGATGTAAACACCAGCACACTTAAAAAGAAGTATAACTTCGCCTCCAGGTCCTTCAAAAGAGTTATTGCCAAGGCAAAGTCAAAGCACATAGGCAGAATAGGCGAGAATATAGTTTGCCTTCCTTCGGGAACCCGTGCCTTCTGGTCTCTCGCCAAGGCTGTCCAAGGGAATTTCTGTAAGCCTTCACTACCATCTCTGCACAGGGAGGACGACTCACTGGCCCACGCCGCAAAAGAGAAAGCCGACCTTTTAGGCTCCCTTTTTGCGTCCAACTCGACTCTAGACGACGGGGAGAAAACACCGCCGACCATCCCGCGGTGTGAGTGCTCCATGCCGGATATGCTATTTTCACAGCGCTCGGTTCGCAAAGCACTCCTCTCTCTGGACATCCAGAAGTCGATTGGGCCTGACGAAAACCCCCCAATTGTGCTGAGGACGTGTGCTCCGGAGTTGGCACCGGTCCTAACGCGTCTTTTCCGGTACTCCTACTCCCAAGGCGTAGTCCCGAATTCATGGAAGACAGCTTTTGTCCACCCGATCTAAAAAAGGTGACCGCTTAGACCCGTACAACTACAAGCCTATCGCCATCACCTCCTTGTTCTCCAAAATAATGGAATCCATTATTAACAGCCAGCTCATGCGGTACCTTGAGGATCACCAGCTGATTAGTGACCGCCAATACGATTTTCGTCGGGGTCGATCTGATGGTGATCTTCTGGTCTACCTGACCCATAGATGGGCGGAGGCAGTAGAGTCCAAGGCGGAGGCGTTGGCATTTAGTTTGGACATTGCGAAGGCCTTTGATCGGGTTTAGCACAAAGCGCTTCTTTCAAAGCTCCCTTCCTATGGGCTTCCCGAGAAATTGTGCAATTGGATCACCAGCTTCCTTGCAGATCGGAGCATCAAGGTCGTTGTAGACGGTGCATGCTCCGACTACAAGCCCATTAACGCTGGTGTTTCACAAGGCTGTGTGCTATCACCAATGCTGTTTCATCTGCATATCAATGATATGTTGCTAACTGGTAACATTCATTGCTATGCGGATGACAGCACTGGTGATGCTCTATACACCGGCCGTGCCAATATTTCTCGGGAAAACGTCGCCGAGTACCGGAATAAACTTGTGTCTGAAGTCTAGTCTTTGCTGAACAAAGTCTCGGATTTGGGGCGACTAAATCTAGTCCAGTTTATTCCTCAGAAGACACAAGTTTGCGCGTTTACCGCTAAAAAGAACCCCTTTGTCGTATCTCCTCAGTTTCAAGGCACTCCCCTTCTCGTCTCAGCCAGTATCGGAATCCTTGGAGTCGACATATCGAGTGACGTGCAGTTTCGTGGTCACTTGGAAGAGAAGGCCAAATTGGCCTCTAAAAAGCTTGGCGTGCTCAGCAGAGCGGGACAGTATTTCATGCCGTCACAACGCCTGCAACTTTACAAGGCGCAGGTTCGGCCTCACATGGAATACTGTTCCCATCTCTGGGCAGGGGCTCCCCAGTGCCAGCTTCTTCCACTTGACCGCATCCAGCGCAGAGCGGCTCGAATCGTCGACGAGCGAGTCCTTTTCGATCGGCTCGATTCAATGGCACTGCGAAGAGATGTTGCATCTCTTTGCATTTTCTTTCGAATTTACCACGAGGCGTGCTCTGAGGAATTGTTCGGATTAATCCCAGCCGCCAAATTTCACGAACGCACATCGCGGCAGAACTCCCGATATCATCCATACCATCTGGATGATTGGCGGTCCACCACTGTGCGATTTAGAAGATGTTTTCTTCCTCGCACGACTTCCTTGTGGAATCGATTACCATCAGCGATTTTTCCGGACCGATACGACTCAGGGACCTTCAAGAAAACTCCTTTTTAAAAGGCCGGCAACGCATCTGCGATTCCCCTGGTGTTACGGTTGTTCACGGGCGGCGGTAGTCACTTACCATTAGGTGAGCCGCATGCTCGTTTGCCCCCTCTCCTATAAAAAAAATCGAAGGGATTCTACTATTGTAATAATTAGTGGACACGAAACTAAGCCAAAGTTTTTTTAGATGCATTGTCATCCTTCATGGCCAGGATGAACATTCTAATGAAATAATGATATTCTAATAAATAATGCGATTACAAGCATATTTCTTCCATCTTTATATTTTTTGTTGAATGTCTTAAACATTCGAATTTCTTTGCTAATGTAGAGTAAATCTTACTCGCAATCAGCAAAAATTGATTTTGCATTTACAAATTCAGTGATATCCAACTTAGGCAACTCAGACACTAAAAAAAAATTAGGTAGGAATATAAAGATTAGGTGCATCTATGCTTTAATTTTGTGTTGTGGAATTTATTTGCATTTTATTCATTTAATTAAATCTTTAAAATACGCGTACATTTAATTCGTTAAAGTAATACTATTTATTCAAAACAATTACCCTTCGTCCAGCTTCATTGTTGTGGAGATTCATCAGTCCCTCGTCCGTGTTCTTATCTTCTTTAGCATCCACAAAGTCCCGGCTAAATATTTCACCATATCTTATGTCCTAAAAGTTAAAGTAATTATTATTGTAAAAAAAACATCATAGCGTGAATTATAGCATTATAATTTTCATAACAATTAAATATTTATGTATTTTCACATGCCCAATACTGGATTTAACTTTTTGCTGCCCTATATTTTTAAATAAAACGATGCCCTAGTTGTTATTTTATAATATTGGTTTTTTATTTGAAGTAAAATGGTTGCAATTTTTAAGGTATACTTTTGTGGCTGAAAAACTGTTTCCTTGACTAATTTAATAGCGAAATTTCTGATAATATCATCAAAATTGATTTCACGTAGCAAATAACTTTTAATGCAAAGTAGTGATAATGCATCCAATCTTTCCTGATTTATCATTTTACGACAAGGATTTTCAATTCCTCTCTTATCATTTCAGTTAAATTAAGCAATTTTTATAAATCAATTTAGTACTTTTACAATTTTAGAGAACTATATTTTAATTTTTTAAGTTACATATTATATTTTTAAGTTCCCTATACAAAACCGGAGCTACTGTTTCTTTTTGACTTTTTGCCTATCAATTTGCATAGCTATAAATAAAAAAATCCGTGCATTATGAAGAAATATGAGAAAAGAAACATCACAAATATTCATATCATATCATAATTTAACATCCTGATCGCTAAATTATTAAAAAATTATCGTTTATTTTTCTGAAAAAAAAAAATGTAATATCTAAATACATTTAATGCACGTGTATTAGCGACAGATTTTTTGAAAATATAATAAGTACTATACAACCGATGCCCTCTTTATACACCTTGATATAAATCCATCATTGCACGTGCCTTATTTCTGGCCGTTGAAATGCAAGTCAAAGTCGTATAAATTGTTAAAAGGTGAGAGTGTCAATATAATTCCAGATATTAAATTTTCTTTAATTTTGTTTATGTAACGCAAGCTACATTCATCATCATCATCATTACAGCCCTTCACAAGTCCACTGCTGAACATAGGCCTCCCCCAAGGAATGCCACAAAGCACGGTCCTGAGTCACCTGCATCCATCGACTTCCTGCATATCTTGCCAGTTCGTCACTCCATCTAGTGGGGGGACGCCCTACACTTTGCCTGCCGGTACGAGGCTGCCACTCGAGAACCTTTTTTCCCCATCGGTTGTCGGTTCTTCGAGCTATATGGCCGGCCCACTGCCACTTCAGCTTACTAATCCGTTAGGCTATGTCGGTCACTCTGGTTCTACTGCGGATATCCTTATTTCTAAGTTTATCACGCAGAGAAACTCCGAGCATAGCCCTCTCCATAGCGCGCTGAGCGACCTTGAGCTTCCTTATCCGGCCAGCAGTGAAGGACCACGTCTCAGTTCCATATGTCATCACTGGCAACACGCACTGGTTGTACAGTCTCGTTTTCAAGTTTTGAGGTATACCTGACGAGAAGATGTGCCGTAATTTCCCGAACGCTACCCAACCGAGTTGATTCCGTCAATTAACCTCTCGGTCGAAGTTGGACTTACCTAGTTGGACTATTTGTCCCAAGTAAACATACTCGTCAACAACTTCGCGCTTTGTGCTCCCAACAACTACCAGCATAGGTGTGACATGGACATTAAACATGATCTTTGTTTTATCCATGTTCATCTTAAGACCTATCCGTTGGGAAACACTATTGAGGTCATTGAGCATAGTGCTTAGGTCCTCCAGCGATTCTGCCATAAGGACTATATCGTCGGCAAATCGAAGGTGAGTGATGTACTCGCCATTGATTTTGATATCGTATCCTTCCAGTCCAGAAGCTTGAAAACGTCTTCCAATGCAGCGGTGAAGAGTTTCGGGGATATGACGTCACCCTGTCTTACACCTCTCTGCAATTGGATAGGTTTCGTACTCTGGTTCTGTACTCGGATACCCACCGTAGCCCTACTGTACAAGCACTTCAACACTTCGATATATTGACAGTCAACTTGGCACCGCTGAAGGGACTGCAACACCGCCCAAATTTCGACGGAATCAAAGGCTTTCTCATAATCCACATACGCCAGACATTGTGGCAAATTGTACTCCTCGGATTTCTGTACAATTTGCCGAAGGGTATGTATGTGGTCTATGGTGCTAAAGCCCTTTCGGAAACCGGCTTGTTCGGGAGGCTGGAAGTCGTCAAGTCTGCGCGCGAGACGATTCGTAATGACTCTCGAAAACAGCACGTAGACGCGGCTCAGAAGGGAAATCGGTCTGTAGTTATTCGAGAGAGCGTTGTCGCCTTTCTTGAAGAACAAGACCACCGCACTTCTGCTCCACGCCTCTGGTGTAATGCCACCATGGAGGACGGAATTAAAGAGCTTCTGAAGGACTTCAAGTACCGGTTTTCCACCCGCTTTCAGAAGCTCCGCTGTAATTCAATCCTCGCCTGGGGCCTTGCCGTCTTTAAGGTGCTGGAGAGCCATTCTAATCTCGCTCAGACTGACGTCCGGGATATCATCGGAATAATGTCGGATAAGACACGCAAGCTACATTAGCTACTTTTTATCACGTAGACCAGGGGTTCCCAAACTCTTTCATTTCGTTTCGGAAGCTAGTCGAAATAGGGTACAATGCTGATAAGATGTTACAAAGGGAATAACAATTCTTTGAGTTTTTGAATTTAAAATTGAATATTCATTTACGACTCGTTTCCGAGCGTAAGTGACGTTTGCAGCGCGCGCGATTTGTATTTTTATTTTGTACTCCTGAATAAGCTTAGTTTTTTGATGATGGTAAACAGGAGCGCCTCAGGACGCCGCTTTTTTCTCTCTACAGTACACCAGGGCGCTGCGGTTCACACTTTAGGAACCCCTGACTCAGACTATTAGCTTGTTTGTGAATGATAAAATCGTCTTATAAAAAATAATCAACTCGGATACAACAGACCATTGACGAACATTGGCATTGTTATAAGTGTGAAACGACTCGGATGGAATGCGTGACGGAAAATTCTACTTGTAAAGGCAAGGTTTATACACCAATGGAATAATTATTATAATAATAGACTCTAGATCGAACTTGCAGAACATTTGTACAGGATATGATTATATTACCCTTTTTTTTTTTTTGCGGATGGAAAATCATCAAATGACGCCTTTCGCTCTGGGTGGAGCGGAAGGGACTGTCAGACTTTTACTGACTAAAAACCATCCGTGTTCCTTCAGTGCCCTTACGTTCCGGAGCCGCGGTATCTCTTTCGAACAGCCCGCAGCCCATGATTATTTTACCCTAGGGCTAGAGAAAGTGCACAAGTGCACTCTGCATTCTCTCACTCATAGTCCGATGTGACGGCAATTCGACACGATCGGAGAAAGATAAGGCGCAGGACTAACGGTTGTACGTGCTTTCAGGCACGATGGTGAAACGCCGTCAACATCCTGATACGGGCTACCACTGAGAATTTCTTGACAGAAAACTCAATAGCTGATTTCTTGCCCGAAATGGGATTCGAACCAAATACCACATGAGCAATCGCATTTATGACTAATAGACAAACCAGGCAGTCACCGGTGGAATAATTACGGGCTTATAACGGTGTTTATATTATTATGTTTATATTTGAATTCAATTTTTGGAACGAAGTTCCTTTTTGGACGGTACGGGTTTGGCGGATGGGAGCTAGACGACAAAAAGTGTAATATTTTTTTGTCACTACCCCCTGTGTCATAGTTTAAACGGCCTTGGCGGTGAAATAACGAAAATGGGATGGAATAATATCCATCTCCCTCGCACTTTTTCTTATTTTGCCATGAAAGAAATATTATTTTATTTCAGCGGATATGGCGGATGGGAGATAGGCGACAAAAAAGTGTAAGATTTTTTCGGCACTACCCCCTATGTCATAGTGTAGACGGCCTTGGCGGCGAAATAACGAAAATGAGATGTAATAATATCCATTTACTTTACTTTTTCTTATCTTGCCATGAAAGAAATATTATTTTATTTCAGCTTCATTTTAATAGACGCTAGTAATTCATTTATTTGTATTTTAATCAATAATATAATACCTACGTTTATCAATAATAATATACTACGCAAGGAACTTCATTCCAACCGAGTGTTCCACGACACTCACGCATTTTTATATAAACTATTAGACAGGGTATATCTGCAGAAAACAATCAGTGTTCTTTACCTCAGAACAACCACCCCATTGCCAATGCCTAGGCGTCCGTTTCCTGACTCTGGCATCACATGAGCATTCGTTCAGCTCGCCGCGGCTGCAAGCACGCGCCACCGCATGCGCTAACGCCGCTGACGACAACGCATGCACGAAAGCAGATTCTCGAGATTCTGAAAAAAAAATTGAATATTGTAGGTACCTAATTGCTTTTACTACATGTAATTCCAATGTTATTTTATGGACATCTCATCATCTCTTAAGTCCACTGAAACCCCCAAGGAATGCCACAAAGCACGGTCTTAAAGCATCTGCGTTCATCGACTTCCATCGATTTCTTGCCAAGTCGTCACTACATCTAGTGGAGGGACGACCCACACTCGCTTACCAATATGAGGTTCCCACTCGAGAACTTTTCTTCCCTATCAGTTGTCGGTTTTTTGAGCTATATAGCCGGCCCGTTGCCACTTCAGCTTACTAATAATCTCAGCCTTAGGAATTTGTTGTTAGGACTTTATTTTTTTAATTCTTCATGATTTCATTAATATTACCACAGTATTTTAAATATCCATATAAGTTCAATAACCGACAGCATAATCACAAACCAATGACCATGACCTCGATACTAATACACCACCAACCCAAAATATCACCAACTATAAGAGCTCATTTTACAATGGTTATTTTATTAGTGGCATACGTTAAACAAACTGAGCGGCTCCGTCAACAAGTCCACACGTGATCTCTGTAATCGACATTGGAAAATAAACAAGATCCACGAACAGAGAAATTCCTTGAAAAACGTCTTAAAATGGACAGGGCATTGTGATGTAAAACATACATAAATTAGATATTGCATCCAGAAATAAACAATTTATCTACACGAAGCATACGGAGAATATTATCCATTTTCTTGACAAACACTTTTTGTTTTAGGAAATTATTCTTATCAAATAAATCTACGCAGATTTAATTTCGAGCATCACTATCAGCCTACGATGACTAAGAAATTAAACAATTTAAAAAATTAATAAAAATTATATTACTAAAAGTTCCAAATTAAATTTTTAATTTACCATTTTGGTAATCTAAGGAAAGTCACAAGTTCATGGTAACAATTATAGTATCATCTAATATAAATACTCACCTCATACTCGTAGTATTTATACGATACTCTAATTGTTATTTACTTTTTTTTAAAGTGTAATTTAAATCGATTCAGCCGTATCCGAGAAATGGGTGAACATAAAAAACATAATTTTTGAAGTTGGTTAATAACCTGTATTATTATGTAGTATCTAGGTTTTAATATGTAGTAGGATAAACTTGGAAAGCGCATACATTATAATATGTAAGAGAATACAAGTTCTATCATATCGATGGATGCAAGTGGCTCAGGAACATATTTAGTGGCGTTCGTATGGGGAAGCCTATGTGTTGGATACTTGTGAAGAGCTGTAATGATGATATTGATATAAAAACTACTGGCTTAAAGTACAGAATTATAATATTCGCCAACATAATATACTTTGAGTTTCTCCCGCAAGATATATTAATTGAAATATGCAAACATTTTTCCCGTGTGATGCATCTTGCGGCTAATAGCGGAAAATTTATCCAAAAACGTCAGATATTTTTTTAAATGCTAGTGATGTCCCGATTCTGAACAAATCTAACAAACAAAAGCAAGTCTAACTCATTCTTAAATCTTTGTCCTGTAGCCCGTGTTCAACCCTCAGGTTGTAACATAAACAATCATGGCGATAGACGGGCTCGTTCAAAGTTACGCATTTACAGGCTGGACATCAAAGAACATGTGGTGGGAACAAACATCCAAGGGAATTACAGTTTCAAGAGTATTCCTAAAATTTATTAAATTTAAATTTAAGTTCGAAATTCCGTATTACATAACTTGAGTAATTATACGGACGTAATTTTTTTTTATAATCCTTAAAATTATACTTGTTTATGGTTTTAGTCCTTAAATTATACTTATTTGTCGCATACATAAAATTAAAAATATTAAATTAATAAGACGATATTCTGTAAAATGATATTATAGTATAATATCCTATCGAATGCAATACATTCATATTATGATCGTAGCTATATCACCAAATTGCATTAAGTTTAATAACTTGATAAAATCTTTTTTGTTTGATATATTTTTATCATTTAAATTCACTTTAAATGTTGATATGATAACGTAAAAATTATTTTTCTTATCTTAATTAAACACAATCTGTACAATCGCTGACAAGTGATTTTGGATTTGATTTAAAAAAATCCCCTACTACATGGTATAGTTATTTTTCAATTTCAGGTAACCAAATATAGCAAAATACAATATTTTTTTTATTAATCTTTAATTTTAATGTACATTTCCTATATACAATATACATATGTAATCAAAGTCAAAACACTAAAATTTGTACTGTATATACATACATATCTACTTATCTATGTGGGATTAGAGCAATTTTACATCCGCTCGCTCGGCGATTTTTTTACGACGGCGGTGACTTCTGCATAATCGAAAGCTATGAACTGATATATTATAGTGCCACAAGTGTATGCGCAAATTAAGAAAAAAATAACATCGGATGTAGGCTCCAATTCAGTGTCAGAAACAGGGGGAAACAATAAAACACAATATTTTATTTTCATAACTTTACCACACAATAAGACGACGACGACGAGACGACAACCAGATGAAAACGAATTCTGGCAAGGGTTCAAACCCAGGGTTTGTTGCGTAGTAACTAGATATTTTGGGTATTTTATGAAATTTATAAATAGAACTGAATAATAAATTAGAATCGTCACAATCAATAAGATAATTCAATCAATATCATTACTCAATGTAATTAATGAATATAATTCAATCAATATAAAGTAAAGTAAATATCGGTAATAAGTTATTGTTTTTAGACAATCAAAAAATATTTCACTTACTAAATTTAAGGACTCCACCAAAGATGTCGGTGGAATTAGCAACAGTGCTGCAATTCCATCGGCTGTGTCGAAATTGATGCTGACATTCCTCCACAGCTTGACTGGCTCCAGTCTGTAATACCTGGAAGTATCAGAATAAGATGCAATAATTACTAAGCATTAAAAATACTAATTTCGAATTATATGGATACAAATTATTATGTATAAAACAAAAAATGTAAGAAAACACTCGTAAGATTTGACTGATAAATTAAATAATTTGAAAAGGGTATTTTAAATCAAATTACGTATATATATATACATAGTGATGCATAGAATATATAATATAATACATAGTTTTTATGTAATGAAGTATACAATTTTTATGGTGACTCAAATGTCCATATTTTAATTTCTGGAATGAAACAAACACGTTAAAAATTTCGTAATACCACTTGAAACTTAATTATACACAATGAGTTAACGGTATGGTGGCTGCATAACTAACTACGAGTATCTCATCCCGTGAATGTCGTCACAGGTGACTAAGACCCAAAATAACTTATGGCTTCCAATAGACAGCTGTGTAACCATCTCAATAAATCAAATAATCAATACTCTTTATTGTACACCAATACATATTAAAAACAATAAAATAATAATATTTAAAGTAGGTACTATAGGTGGCCTTGTCGCTCTGAAAGCGATTTCTCCGAAACAACATTTTTACGTAAGAACACGCACAAGCAAGTTCAAAAACTGTTGTTAAAATAATGAAGGCGATGAAGGTGTAATTAATTATGCTCTTAAATTTAAAGCACAAGATAATGGCAATCGAGGATAAATAGGATAGATACAAAATATTGCGGGAAATAGGATAGGAAACATAAGTTATCCAATAAATAAGCTTTGAGTAAATTTCTAAAAAGAAAAAGGACTTAGCACGTCGAATACAAAAAGTAAGGAGTTCCACAACTGTAAAACTATAACGGAAAATATGCGGAAAATGTTTGTTTAAAAAAAAGAAGGAACAGATGTTCGGGAGTATAGAAAGAAAGATGTAAGTGTAACCACAATGACGATCGTTAGAGAAGAAAATGAACATCTCATATTTATACCACAGCGAGATGTCTAGTACCTACCGCGATCGTCAACCAGTCGCATTCCAAACCAGACCAAACCGAGCATGAAATAAAATTGATTAAGGTGCATACGATTCGGCTAATTATAAGTTTTTCCTTTCATTTTTTTAAATTAAAACTATGCAAATTAATAAAACTTAATCAGGTATTGTTCTGTAAGCAATTAAGAGATGCTTATAGACAATATCGTCATTAAAGCTATCCAATTTCTTTCAAAAACGGTAGAATCAGTCAGAGATATGACGATATGTTAAATTTGTTTATACATAATATGAAGAGAGTAAATGGATATTTATTTCTCTACTGATGGTAAAAGGGTTCTATCGTTAAGAGTTTGGCTGCGACGCTGCTGGCCGGGGCTTGGAATTCAGTACAGATATATACTATTTGTATGGCTTACAAATAATTGTGTCGAGTCTGGATGTTTGTCCATGTGCAAATTATGTATGCAATATGCCTCCATGATATAGGAGAATGATTTAAGGTAATTTAAAAAAATACTGGGTGATAAAAATGCTGACAGGAGGTGGAACCAACTTTTCCTGCATAAGAGTTAGTTTAACTTCTTTGACTATTACTGCCTTAAAACTGGCGTGCAACCATTGTTGTGTCCCGGTATAAAGGACAAGTTAGTGCAGATGCGCAATCGAGGATAGATGTAGACGTCTATGGGCCACAGCAACCACTTACCATCAGGTGTACTGTGTACTCGCTTGTCACCCTTATCTAATAAAAAAAATTATTCAATTAGAGTGGTGATCGCAGTATGACCGGCACCCTATACGTGGTAGAGCATTATAAGTGGCAGAGCCATGTTGCAACTATATTACGATTCGGCGTGATCGGGGAAGGACCACGCTCTAACAGAATTCCATCTTAGTCCTCACGAAAGGCAACATCATTTTTCTGGTGTTTTACTCTAATATTATGTATAGCATAGCTCTACCATGTAATGTGATAAGGAAGCAGCTAGCTCATTTAACGAATTCTTTATAATATGATTGTATATAGTAATGCATAGTTGGAATATATATACCGTCAAAGAAAAAAGTAATATATCTTAATTAGACTGTCGAGTGATAATCGATATCTATAGGAATGAAATTTTAAATCTAGATATGAATTTGGCACAATTACAAAAAAATTTACCCATATTTACGTTGTTGACTCATACACTGTATAGCTTATCAACAATCGACATTGCTATATTTGCACGCTTGGTTGGGGATGTGGCCCATGGACATCTACATCTATCCGCAATTAAGAATCAGGTATATGGTTCTCCACATTCACTATATGAAACACGGCAGCATTAAGCTGCTATTTTTCGTTGGTATTCTGTGAAAGCGAGGTCCATCTCCGGTCAAGCTAACCAATTCGTGCTAGAACCGTAATAAAATTGCAGAGTGGCTCTACAACATATAAACGTTTACTTTTCTTATATGGCGGATAGTGGCATTAGTGTGCACACGGTTATTGTACCCCATTATAGTCAAATGATATTCGTATGTGATAAAATAGATATAAGAAAACATAACATTTTGTTTATACCAGAGCCCCGCTACAGCCTATTATTGCTGTAGGTTGAATGGGTCGGCTCGGCCAGAGGGCTAAACTCGCAGAGAATAGAAGCGTGAAATAGCAACACAATAATGCTGTGTTACTTTTCGTGACTAGAGCCGCAGTGATCCCTTTTAGCCGATACCAAGTCGAGACATTCCATCTTAGTCCTTAGAGGTGAAGACCCGTATGGATTTTGATTCTTTATCGAGGATGTAGGTTAGTTACTTTAAAAAATTAAAAATTAATTGAAAAACAAATCTAAATCTATACATATACTAATATGTTGAGTATTTACACAATTTAACTTTTATTAATACACACAGTCCGTCAAGTGGCAACCGGTAAGTTGATACTGTGGCCCATAGGCCACATTTGTCCTCAATTAAGAATCAAAGTGCAGATGCGTGGTCACCATTGATGACTGACATTGAATGTCTGGTTTTCAGTAAAAAGGATCTTCGGTTCTCTACACTCGCCATACAACACTCACAGCAGCCTTAAGCTGGTATTTTGGCTGGTATTCTATGAGAGCGTAATCTCATTCCGGTCGATCCGACACATTAATGCTACAACCGTAATATAGCAGCAGTGTGACTCTACCACGTAAAAAAACTCGGGCCGAAATCTGGTTTGATTTACGCGCGATTGTAATTTTTTATATTAGCAAACAAACAAACATTCTGTCCAATGGTAAATCGTCTACATCTACATCTATTATCGATTAAGAATCAAAATGTAATTGTTTTATCACATCTGCGGACTTTCATCTGTAACAAATATCTAGCCATAAAGATCCAATTTAAGAGCGTAATCAAAGCGAACACTGTAGATCCAATAATGCATAATTGACAGTCATTTTTACAGTAGATTGGCAGAGAAAATAATTATACGATAATAACTAGTGAGTAACGTTATATGCGAGCGAGAATGAGTTTACCGATACCGGATCCACAAAAATTGTAAGTACGGATTTACTACATGATTGGCGGTGGAGGAAAACAGACACATCACATCATGAGTGTGTGTTTGATATATGTCAGAGACATGTTGCAGTTATATTATGATTATAGCACGAATGGGTCGGTTCGACTGGGAACACATCACATGCTAACAGAATACCAGCGTAATTAGCACCTTAATGCTGCTATGTTTCGTATAGCGAATGTAGAGAATCTGAGACTCTTTTTACTGGTAACGAGGCATTCCATCTTGGTACTCAGGGGTCATTTCTGCATTTTTATTTTTATCAGTTTCCTTGTACACAAAATGTACACAATAGTAACACCATCGAAATGTTCATATGATTCTCAGAACAGGGAAAGGATAAATCGAGGATAGATGAAGATGTCTTCAGATAGCCACAGTATCCATTTACCACACAGGTCGTTTGTCACCCTTATTCTATTAAAAAAAATTAAATCCATCAATTTGTAAGAAAGTAGATACTCTCTGTGACACCGGGAGTCACGGTGATGGTACTCTTTTTGCTCGAAATTTTTGCGTTATTTCGAGCGAAAAAAACAATGCCCAATTATGCAACTCGCACAGTCTATTATTTTATTTTATCATTTGTTTATTTTTAATTTTTAATTTTAATAAGTTAAGCAGTGTACTCACGGTGTAAAAATATCCACTACTCCATATTGTCCCGTGAGTGGCATAAGAAGCGACAAAGGGAAACAAAAACAAGAGATGGGTAGCAGCATCTCCCTGATCACAACTCAAAATAATAAATAAATTGCGGTTGCCAACTCATCTGCCAAGCGTGACAACTATGGTAAAATCTCCCCTATAAGGCAATCTACAGGGGAGGCGTATGTTCAACAGTGGACTTTTATTGACTTTATTGAATGCATAATGAAAATTAGGTTAAAAAAACTTTGTGTGCCTACCAGTTTGGAAATGGGTGAAACTTTTATTAAATTAAGATCGATAAAACCGTACAACTAATGCTCAGAAATTGAGAGCCGACTTAAAGAACGCATGAACATTTTTAAGTTACCTCTATATTTATTTAACTATGTTTACATTTTAGCTTTCTTATCATTTAATATAAGACTCTACATTTGTAGAGCCTTAAATGGAGAATATTTTATTAAATAATAATATTCCACACTAGAAATGTTATTAACAACAGAGCTACCTGGAGCACTCTATCAGACAGCAAACACAGCTGCTTTTGCCGTTCGACGAGATACTCCAGCCTGTGACAGCTCTCTTTCTGAAGCGTCGTGAAGGTCTCGAGTGACGTGTTACCCGCTTGGCTCGGTACTCTTGGCGCCGCCAAGTTCCTGGAAAATATAAATAAAAGTTTATTAAGTGTTTAGTTGATCAATAAATTTATATTTAAAAATGTTAATAAAACAAAAATACGCTATAATATTAAAATTAATGGTCACAATACATCCCTATATTGCGCAAACATCTTCTTCCATTTCAAAAAAAAGTCTGCAGCTCTTTGGTCTTAGCTAAGATGACTTTCTACTATTATAAACGCTAATAGAAAACTACAAAAATGTATCTTAAAAATGACTATAAAGATGATGATATATAACTATACTCGTACATGCATTAGTACTAGTTACTGTAAGTAGAGACTATCATTACATTTCTACAGGAACTGTTTTTTTCTCGCCCAAATATTAAATATAGCGATTATGTGAGATATGTGAGAAAATATAGCTGCAGCATGGCATGTGTATACATGCCATGCTGCAGCTATATCATGGTTGTAACACCAATAGGTTGGTTCAACCGGGAGAGTACCACGATCTCACAGAATACCAGCGTAAAATACAGCTCAATGCTACAGCATCTACTTACCATCAGGTGGACTGTGTGCTCTTTTGTCATCCTTATATTATAAAAAAAATACTAATAATAATTTAAATCGATTCAGAAGTCTCTGAGCAACTGCTGAACGTACATAAAACATACGCATTGCGCATAAAGAACTTTCTCTTGTTTTGAACTTAATTAAAAATCACAATCACAACTATCGTTATGATTCGCGACTGTCACATGACACGTTGAGACATTATATCATTCCTATTCACTTTTACAATTTTTCTATTTGAGTTAATTAGATTATAGAAGATCAACTTAACTAAATCCGCTGTTCTAGTGTAAATATATTATTTATAGTGTAAGGGTGGCAAACGAGCACACAGTCCACCTAATGGTAAGTGGATGCTATGGCCCATAGACATCTACGTCTATCCTCGATTAAGAATCAGAATGCAAATGCGTTGTCACTCCTGAGGACTAAGATGGAATACCTCTTTTATAGTAAAAAGGTTCTCCGGTTCTCTACAATCACCATACGCAACACAGCAGCGTTAAGCTGCAATTTTACGCTGGTATTCTGTGAGAACGTGGTCCTTCCCCGGTTGAGCCGACCCATTCGTACTACAACCATAATATAACTTTTTTTTATAAGATCGAGTGACAAACGAGCACACAGTCCACCTGATGTTAAGTGGTTGCTGTGGCCCATAGACATCTACATTTATCCTCATTTGCGAATCAAAATGCAGATACGTTGTCACCCGTGAGGACTAAGATGGAATACCTCTTTTTCAGTGAAAAGGGTCTCCGGTTCTCTACACTCACCATACGAAACATAGCAGTCTTAAACTGCTATTTTACGCTGGTATTCTGTAAGAACGTGGTCCTTCCTCGGTCAAGCCGGCCCATTCGTAGTACAACTATACTACTAATATATAGATCGGGAGATGGTGACAGAAAATAGTCTCCCATTTTCTCCTGCATGCCTTTTTAAGAATTGATAACTAACCCTAAAATATGAAAGATAGAGGGGTTACGAGCCCTTGCGCGCTTGCACGTCATAAAGAAAATGGCTTCTCTTTGTGTAAAGAATTTTAGTATTTTTCCGTGACATTATATTGCATGCCTTTGTAATATAACGTAGTTGGAACAAATTTAAGCTATAATAATTGATGGCATGCAATTCGCAACGGCCGACGGGGCTCAAAGGGTTACGTAGAAATGAAAAAAAAAAATAGAAAATTTCCGTGTTTACAAATTGCATGCCGTTGTAAAAAATTAGTTTTTTTTTATCTCAATAATACTCTACGAAAGTTGGCATGCACCCCTCGTATGACTAAGGGTGGTAAATATTACGAAAATGTTGTGAAAATTCAATACAAATTTTCCGTGATAAAATTAATCTCGTATTTATCTTTATTAGAAGTAGTTTGAAACCACGAAAAGTTGTATTGAATTTTCACAACATTTTCCTAATATTTTCCACTCTTGGTCATACGTGGGGTGCATGCCAATTTCCGTAGAGTATTTTTGAGATGAAAAAAACTATTTTTTTACAACAGCATGCAATTGGTAAACACGGAAATGTTCTATTTTTTTTTTTCATTTCTACGTAACCCTTTGAGCCACGTCGGCCGTTGCGAATTGCATGCCATCAATTATTATAGCTTAAATTTGTTCCAACTACGTTATATTACAAGGGCATGCAATATAATGTCACGGAAAAATACTAAAATTCTTTACACAAAGAGAAGCCATTTTCTTTATGACGTGCAAGCGCGCAATGGCTCGTAACCCCTCTATCTTTCATATTTTAGGGTTAGTTATCAATTCTTAAAAAGGCATGCAGGAGAAAATGGGAGACTATTTTCTGTCACCATCTCCCAATCTAATAGCTGTAGCGTGGCTCTACCAAGTTTGGAAGAGAACTTTAAATTATGATCTTGGAATGTTTTTGATTTCTCTGATATGGACATTTCCTCACATTGTTTTTCTTCCTTGCCACCAATATAAAGCAAATAACATTGGAATAAACAATTTCAGTGGTGCCAGTGAGGATCGAAAGCTTCTGTGCAACGAATCTACTTCTTTATTTTGTGAAAAACCGTACAGTACTATAGTACTTGGTCAAATATAACACACAAGTAATTTTTCTCTACATTCTTCAAAAGACCAAGTATTAAAAGTATTTTGACAGGAACTTCACCGCCACCGGAATGTTCCTCCTGGTAATGCTTTGAAGTTTATTTTGGTATAATATGCGCTGCGATTATATTAAATGTCTGGGCGTGTGAACTATTTGTATTGGAAACTACGAAAAAGAAATGTTTTTATGTTGATATAAACCTGAAGTTATTTTATCAATATAGTTATTTTAAGACAAAACGTGTATTATATTGTTAATTAGTGTTACTAATTTTCACTGTTAGCAGTATTTAAGTGATCAAAATAAAACTAATACCTACTTATTTCGAATATCGAACGCTGTTACTTCTGTACGTAACGGAAGATAATTGATCTTAGTATAACTTGCTTCTTAAAATCGAGCCGACTACACTAGCGTATGAATACGCTGGGATTATATGAATGCAAACAGCAGGCACCTACGCGGTTCCTGGCAAACATTGTAGAGAAAAGATGATTGCTAGAGTGAAATAAACATTGCTAATTTGCTTGTTTTGCAATACCTCCTCGACTTGAGAACTGGGGAACAAGCTCCGAGCAATAAATAACAATGTTAAACATCATCCTCTGACAAATGAAATGAAAGGCCAACTTAGGCATAAGCGCACTCATACAAAACAATACAAACCGCTAAAGTAATTAAAACTGAAGACATCCGCTCCCCGCGAGCTCCGGCACTCAAATCAAAAACGCCACTCGTCGGAAACAAAACGCGCTATTACCTACCCGCTTTTGTTATTTTTCAAAAACTGCTCTCTATTCAAACCGGCCAATGCGGAGCAGGCGAAACAGAGTACGTTGATTGGCCGACGACCTCTGTTGAGTGCAAGTGGAAATAAAAAGTGCTTGGGTAAATGAGGCATGTCGTCCTTTTCTTCCGCGCTACAATTGCGTTGTCGCATTTCGCTCGGTTTTTCGTTTTAATTGCAAGCATGAGAGGATGTGTAAAGGGTTGTGAGACCTTGAGTGGTGCACGTGTAGGATAGAGGCTGCGGGGAAGCGCATTCAACTTGTTTAAATGGGGGGAAGGGTCTCTTGTTTATGTCATCCATGTTGTCAGATGGGGGTTACAGCGTAATATTCTTACGGAGCACGTCTGACAAATGCTTTGGTAGGGATTAATGAGACTTCATTATATGGGTCACTTTAAATTGCATTTGAACTTTTGACTTATATTTTTCACTGTAATTTGCATTATTTATTTGTACAGATATTAATAAAAAAATATTATATATTTCTCAATGTATTATTCTTTTTGGTATTTTTTATCATAACTTTTGATTACTATCATCGTCTTCATCATCTAAGAATCTACATTTTTAAGAGGCAACTGTATATAGTCGACGCTTACATTTGCAGATCTCATATCTATAGATATTGGTCGAGCAATTATTGACACAATTAGTATCCACATCTATGCGATGATACTTCTAGAGTTTTCTAAGTCGACTCTCATTAAGGTGATAAATGATCATACATTGCCACTTTATCGTGTGGTGGTGGTGTAAGAATATCTAGTACCCCATATCCTCCCGTGGGTGACGTAAGAGGCGACAGTGGTAAACAAATCAGGAGATGGGCAGCAGTGTCTTCCTAATAACGTCTACAAATAAAATACAAAATAAAACATTTAACTGTTCAAAACATTTAACTGAGCAAAACATTGAATGGTTGCATGAATAAAAAATAAAATATTATACACTTAGCACTTGCAAACATCGCAACTTTGCTCAGCTGTGTGATTTTAAACTATAGTACTTTTATTCGTTTTCTTTTAGTACATGTTACTGATTGTTTGACTTAAACATTAAGAAAACCTAACACTAACACAGTATATTTTTTTACATTACTCTGTATATAATAAGGAAGTAATTCCTATTAAATAATTAGATAAGAAAGAAAACTTGTATGTAGGATTCCTCTCTGTCTATGTGTCTGTCTAAGTTGGTAACACTCTCTTACATATTTCTTCTCTAAAGCAATGCATCCTTTACTATATTCTAAAGACTTAGTTTAATTACAGATTATGAGATATTCCATCTTAGTTCCAAAATGTTAGTATTAAATCCATTACAGCCTATTAAAGGCCAGTCTGAACAAGCCCCCTCCATAGTTAGCTTCCTTAGGGCGATATCTGTCTTAGTTGCCACGCACGCTTAACAAACGGTTGGGAACCACAGTTTTTTTTAATTATTTCGAACTGTTTCCAGTAATATGCTTTTGCCCATCTCTTGTTTTATTTTCCTCTTTCACATAATCGAAACTAGCTGAGTTCAGCATCATTGCTTAAAATCGTTTTGTTTTACCTGCAGAGTACAAA